GTTTGGTGTCGGCCTGGCTCGGATGATAGCTCTCAGGGTTGGAAGGATGTGGGTTCAAACTTTCGAACACTTTAAACTGGTTTTGGTTAGGAAATGGCTTGGCTGGGGCACAGTGCCAGTGGTCTGGGAAAGAGAAAGTAACAATCTCAGAAGAGCTGTAGCTGCCTTCAGAGAAAGCATTAAACCACTACACGTCCACCCCCGCATCCTGGCTGACAATGCCCTAGATAAAATTGGCCATTTTGACGTGGCTGTTCGCGGGACATTGCTGCGTGCAAACTGGCTCTGAGTTCGCCTACAAAATAGTCACTACACTTCACAGTAAAATCCTGGAGGAAGTCTCTGCGTTGAGTGTTAGGGGAAAAATGAAAGGTTTGCCTTCTATGTAAAGAATACCTTTGTGTATATAAGCTTGAGCTAGAATATGGGCTTAAGTCAAGATATATAGAAATTTAATAATCAAGACCTATTTTGTGCACCACTTCTGATTGGTGAATCAGGAGCCTTGCAAGACTTAAAGTAATAGAAGATATCTTGATGGAATCTGTGGGGATGGGGGGAGAAGAGGCCCCAATCTTCAATGACAGCATAGCAAGACTTGCAGGGACGAGAAGGTTATCAGTCTGTCTTTTTTTTCTTGCATTTCTACTCTTTCCTCCCGCATGCACCCACCATCCTGAGCAACGCCTCGACAAGCTACGTCTCTTCAATCTTGAGAGAAACTGATTGAGAGGGGATCTCATTGAGGTGTATACAATTTTAAATGGGATTAAAAAAGTAAACCCAAATCATTACTTTAGGATGCATCGTGTCAGTTGAAGAAGAGAAATGCAGGTTTAAAGTTGTGAAGGGTAATTTCAGGGCAGACACCAGAAGATTTTTCTTTATACAGAGGGTAATCTGGTTGGTATGACATGACTTCTCATAAGACCTTGCTGTGTGCAAACTGGCTGCTGTGTTTGCCTGCACAAAAATGGTCCTTACACTTGACAATAATAATAATAATCCTTACATTTGAAATCATGCCTTATCATGTCGTTGAAACATCTCAAAGTGCTTCACAGAATATATTGTAAAGTGAATCGATTGTAAATTTTGTGGGCAAAACGCAGCAGACAAATGCATACAGGAGTGTCCCACAAACGGTTGTGGATTGAGTGACACAATATTGTTTTGAGGGGAGGGATTATTATCCCCTAGAAAACAATCTACTAGTTGACTTACAATTGGGTTCCTACTTACTGCTAGATAAACAGAGGCGTGTGGAGTAAGAAACTTGCTTAAGATATTGCCCAACCTGGAAATCTCACCCAGGTCCTCTTGCATGCAAGGTGAGCACTCTAACCACTGAGCTACAGATTTTAGTGAAGTGCTTTGATTATGATGATGATGAGCACTGCATCAAATGGGTGGATTGTTTGTTAACGTTCTCCTCTTCTCTTCCAGTGGACCAGTGCATGATGTTTTATAGTTTTTTGGTTCCTGTTATGATCGGGATGATTCTCCTCATCCTCCTGGTCAGTATGTTCACCTGGTGGGTGTTCTTCCGATACTTTCGAAGTGTGGGATACCAGCGGATCTGAGGAGGCGGGCAGAAGCTTGAAGATCCTTTACTCATTTGATGTATTTCTTTTATTTCCGAAACATTTTTTAAAAAATTGAGTGTGCACCTTCCTCTTTTTTACATTTTCTTTAAATTCTCTGGATTGCACTGAAAGGACTGTATAAATATGAGTCGTTGCAGTTCCTTTTTAAAGAGCTGATTCACAATGAGGTTAATGCGTTTCCTCATTTCATGTGTCTTTCCCCGAAATGTGTCTTTCTTCCCGGTGCTAACTAACCACACGGTGGAGGCTTCGGATACAGTGGACTATAAAGTGGAGGCTCTTAGAACTTCCTCAGGGCAATTGAGGTACAGATCAGCCAAGATCAAATAGAATGGTAGAACAAATGTGAGGGGCTGAATGGCCTAATGCCGTTCCTATGTTTTACTATTCCTATGTAAGTGGCTTTACATCTCTACCTTTTTCCTTGTGTTTGAACCATTGTTCTGATCGGCCGGTTTGACACAGGCAAAGGTGTGCAACCAAGTAGCCAGTGATGTCGGATGCAATTTCGATGGATTGATTGAAAGTTCACTGTACAATGCGTTTGATCAATAACCTTCAAGGGAATGATTGTTTGGGTGGTTTTGTTTCTCATTTCTCAATAAAAGGCTGCCAAGCCAATAATCCCTATCGCGTTAGCTCCATCTGTCTGACTAAGTGACTGGATTTGTGTTCAAGATTAATGTGAGTAGTTGGGGCTTACTGTAACCTGCTGCCCAAGTTCTTTATGTCACACACTTTAGTGATAACCATTCTCCCAAGTGATTGTCCTCCCACCCAGAGGACTGTGATTGAAGGGGGATAAATTCAGAACAAATCTGTGGGAACACGACTTCAGTGAGTGAATAGTAAATTTATTGAACAGGCTCCCTGGGGAGTCAGATGGTTGAAGGAGAAAATGTTGTTTGTTTCAAGAACAAATTGGATAGATTTCTGCTAGAAAATAATGTCTGGGGATACAGTATATAGTTTTTGACAAGACATGTCAAGCGACTGCCATCCCGGTGGAAGGTGAAGTAGATGGACTTTTGTCTTCTTTTGCCTAGCAAATTCTTATGTTCTTATTATCCCATTGGTATAAAGCATTAAAGTACAAAACAAGTAAAAAGACTGTGAGCTCAAGCCCAATTTTGGAGAAGGTGGGAGGGGGAGTTGATTGAGCTCACAACCTATATGGAGTCCCGTATCATAGTGGTTAGAGCACTTGCCTCGCAAGTGAGAGGACCCAGATTCAATTCCTGGGTGTATATTCTGTGAAGCGCTTTGAGACGTCTCAATGTAAAAAAGCACTAAATCAAATGCAAGGATCATGATAATTACAATTGTTATAACCTTCTGACCTCAAGACAAGAGTGTCAATCGACTGGGCCGACCTGCCCCCCAGCTTAGTGCTGCTCCACCAAAAGGGAGTGCTTATCAGTCACCTGCAATGAGGCCACAGTGTGTTATCTTGCCAAGGTCATGTCCAAGGCAAACCCTGTCATCCGTTCTCTTGAAACTGCGCCAATTTCTTTCTAAAACATTTTCGTTTAACAATGGATGCAAAGCAACAGGATGCTGGTACCTGGAGGCACACCCACCACTTTGATCCTGATCCAAATCAGGTTGTCATAGACCAGTTGTTCCTTTGCCCTCTCTGTGCTTCCACCGATCTATGAGTCCCTCAAGCTCTCTGTCTCTTAATTCCCCCATAACACCTGGCTGAGAAAACTCGCTTTATATTTTAGCTGGAATCGACCACAACAACAGACTCCATTTATACAGCTGGACAGTTAAAGGTTTGCACTTGAGCTGGGGGTTTGGAATCAAGAAGATTATAGGGTTGGGGGAGTGGGGGTGACCAAAGGTACAGTTAAAGAGGAAGGTCTTGAGAAGGGCCTTGAAGGAGGTGAGGGAGGAGGGAGATCTCAGTGGTGTCTGGCATGTTATACTGAATGGAGGATCATTTGAGGTTAGAGTCCTTGGTGTGAGTGGGGTTACACTGAGTGGCTCATGTGGGGAACAGTAGCAACGTCACAGGGTGAAACAGGCCATTTCTGTTCTGTTGCATGCTGCAAATGGAAGAATCTTGGGGTGTAAACATATTGAGGGATTATAGTGCGGAGGCAGGATAAGGTTGTGATACATGGAGTGGAGAAGGGGCTCAAATAGCCTTCTATTCCTAATTTCCTCCAATTTTATGATCAGATAGCTAATTGGTGTTGGTGCCAGGTAGAGTTCAGATGGACCTTTCAAATCCCATGCGATGTTCCTATCGGCGTATAGAATGTCAAGAATTCTGTGCTGGTTCCTCAATGAAACTACCTGGACCTGACTAGGTTTGGCCTGACTGTGACCTGGAATCAGTGAGAGCATGAGGACTTTGGCAAAGGCCAGGTTAAGAAAGATCATCTGCTGGGAGCAGAGCACATGATAGAGAGTGTAGGGGGGTACAGCTCTGTGTCCTGGAGAAGCTATTGATGGTGAATGAGTATTTCATCTCCCTTCTTCTACTATACCTGAGCAGCAAATAGCTTCTTTTGGCCCAAGAGTGGGAGCCCAACACTTTATGAACCTCACTACAAAACAAATGCGCCTTGGGACGTCCTCCCGACGTGAAAGGCGCTCTGTAAATGCAATGTTGTTGTTGTAATGAGTGGAACAGAGTTCCTAAGGGAAGGGTGCTTGAGGCCAGGACGCTGGGACACCTCNAAAAAAAACACACACACAACTTGAAGGTTGTGAAGGGAGTACGGAAGGGTGGGGGTTCTCTGGAAGGATGAGATCAAAGCGTTTCACAGTGCATATCACAGTAAAGTGTTGTGACCGTATAGCATAGAAGTATACAGCACAGAAGGAGGCCATTCGGCCCACCGCGTGTCTGCGCGGGCTCTTCGAAAAGAGCGTCTCCAAATCAATCCCGTTGCCCCGCGCTCTCCCCCATAGCCCTGCAGACGTGTCCTCTCCAAATAATTATCTAATTAGTGATCTGATTATTTGCAGGCCAATCAGGGCAGCCAATTTGTGCACAGCAGTGCCCCCCCCCACACAGCCATTGAAATGAATGGCCAATCTTATTTGGAGGGGTTGGGTGGGTGAGTGGGGGGTGAGTTGTGGGTTCTGCTACCACCTCGTGGTCTGTCCCTGCAAGTGACGGGTGCCTGTGTTTTATACGTGGAAGTCACGTGGTTGCAACGTGTGGGGCGGGGCCACAGGGGCGGGCTTTAAGAGCACGTGGGCGCCCCGCCCCGCCCCGTCTTGCCACGCCCCCCCCTCCCCGAGCGTGTGTGTTTTTTTAACCCACGTGATTGCCGAGCGAGGGCGGCGGTGGACCTGCGCATGCGCCGCTGGCTGCGCGCGTACGTGGGGAGGGGGGGGCGGGGCTTCTTTTTTTTTCAAACCCGCGAACGGCCGCCGCTCGCGGCTCCGGCACCGATGGCGGCGGCGCTGGGGAGGGCGCGGGCCGCCCGCGGGCTGAGGAGGGCGCTAGAGCAGTGAGTGTTGGTCCCCGGCCTCCGCCTCCCCATGGAGGTGGCGGAGTTATCTCTCCTCCCCACTCCCCCTTCCCCCTCCCCCCCCTCCCCCCCCCCGGCCTTCCCCAGGGGAGAGCGGCAGCTTGCTTTAAACCAAGCCCGAGGCCTGAGGCCTGCCCGGAGCCTGGGGGTGGGAGCGAGAGGGTTTGCTCGGCCTCTGCCCTTTCCCTGGACGGAACTAGCCCGGGCTCGATATTTATCACACACACACACACATATATATATACATACACACATAAATACGAAATAACATGCAACACCAGCAATCATTCCGTTCAAATATAACAGTCCTCTTAATTGCACATAGAATTGTGTAATAATGAACCATTAATCAATAATCAATAACAATTCAATATAACGTTTATTAACCGGTAATTATGTCTAACACGTGCACTTGCCATACATACATAATCTGATGCATACACTTATATAATGAGTAATAGTGCGTATTTAGTGCACATCGCTGTATAATGTAAATGCAAGGATTGTTGTTATTGTCTAATGCGAGGATTATTACCATTTATGTTTTATTGGAATGTATACAGTAAACTCCTGATGACTCGACCCGTGTCTTAACTTGTCACTACCTCTTTGATTGCTGTCAATATACCGGCTGCATTTGCTCATGTATTTATAGACACAGCTAACTCGTCGCTCTGGATAATTCGGCGCCGAGCCTTGGGGTGACTAGTTATCAGGAGTTTACTGCATTGCAATAATGTTGATCCCCTCACCTGATGCAACGTCTCAAATATCTAATGTTAAAATGCCTCCAATGCCTGAGAGGTGTATCGACTGGAATTTTGTATGGACACAGCATTCATTTTGTGCACAGGAGAGTCCCACAAACCGCCATAAGGAAGGGAGACCCTTCGACTGCAGAGGCAGCCCAAATACTGTCCTTGTCCAGTGTCTGCACTTGCTCTTTATTTTTAATAGGGAGGGGGGAATTTTGGCTCCATAATTCAAATTGCCAATTTGGCTTGCAGGCGGTTATCTCTCTCACTTCCATGTCAGAAGGTCACGGGTTTGATTGAACCTGCTCATTTGGGACTTTGAGTTCACGGCCCCAGGCTCACATCCATGACAGTACGGGGGGGGAGGTTTTTCACTATCAAGAGGTTCCTGTTGGTTGTTAAATCAAGGTCCTATCTGCCTTTACAAGTGCCTTTGCAGATGTAGCACTATTCAGAAGGGAGTTTGTCCTGGTCAACAATCCCCCTAATAAATGGGTCATTCACCTCATAGGGGAAGGTCACATTTGTCGCTCCCAGTGTTTGCTACCTATTTCCATCAGGAGTCTGTACTTTAAAATTGCTATAGAATTGGGAGCTGTAACTTGTTGCTGTGCTCTGCATTCTTTCACTGCAATTTAAAATCCTTTTTGATAATAGAAATATTAGTGTGTTACTTTTGGAGCATTGGAAATGACTGGACTCATTCTTAGGCTTAAGGCTTGCCCCCTCTCTCCCCAACCCTTTACATAATGTGGATCTGTTCCACATTTTCAGTAAGAATTAATACATTCATGCAGCAACAATTTGAGAACTGTTTCTTTTAGTAACCTTCTTCCTGACCTTGTAATAAGATACTCTTTAACTCTGGTTAAAGAAAGGACAAACTTAACAGAGTATGGTAACTAGGGCTTGCATTCAGTAAAGGACGACTAGCAAGATGAGGTGTATTCAATATAAACTTGAAAACTAAATTTCCTGTTTGTATTGTAAAAAGATCATCCTCACAAATGTCGTCGCAGATTTGATGGGCCGAAACTGTCCACGTTTCTAAAACGTTCAAAATGAAGTCACTTTCCTTGCAAACTTAAGTTTTGCCTTTGAATTACACAGTCACTCCACTTTACATTATATGCCATGAAGCGCTTTGAGACGTCCTCCTGACATTAATGGTGCTGCTTCAAATGCAAGGATTTTTTAAATTAAGGTTGTGACATTTTTGTGTATCTATATATACACTTGTCCCCTCAAATTCCCCCGATTTGAAACAAGACCATTGCTGTGTTTAAGCATAGTAGGGGTTAGCACAATATTTTGATTGTGTGTTTCAATGGTGACATTGCAGAGCATGTACATGCATACTGAAATGAGTTACAACATTGGGATTTCATCCTTCAAAGTACTTGACAAATTTCAGAAGCCAAAGTACTTTGAAAAACATGTTGAGGCCAATGCAGCCCCAAAAAGGCATTGTTTACCTTGCTTGTCTCCCAGGAGGATCGTAGCCAGATCATTGGAACATAAGAACATAAGAATTAGAAGCAGGAGTAGGCCATTCGGCCCCTTGAGCCTGCCCCGTCATTCGATAAGATCATGGCTGATCTTCTGACCTAAGCGCCTTGGGACGTCCTCCCGACGTGAAAGGCGCTCTATAAATGGAATCCTGTTGGTGTTGTAACTCTAATTACCCGCCCTGTGGAGTCCTGTAGCTCAGTGGTTAGAGCACTCGCTTTGCAAGCGAGAGACCTGAGTTCAATTCCAGGCAGAGGGCGAAACCTTGGGCAAGTTTCCTTACTCCACACAGAGCCTAATAATAATCCCTCCAAAACCAAAAACAATAATAAATTGGTCATTTTCAATCTACGACTGTTTGTGGGACATTGCTGTGCGCAATTGGCTGCCGCGTTCGCCCACAAATATACAGTCAATTCACTTTACAGTGTGTTCTGTGAAGCGCTATGGGACGTCCTCCCGACGTGAAAAGCGCTATATCAAATGCAAGGATTATTATTATTATATCCCCTAATCTCTCTATATTTTAAAAATCTATCAGTAGTAGTTTTGAAGGTGTTCAAGGACTGAGCATCTACAGCCTTCTGGGGGAGTGAATTCCATAAATTCACTGCACTCTGAGTGAAGAAATGTTTCCTCAACTCTGTTCTAAAAGGCTGACCCTTAATTTTAAGACTGTGACCCTGGTTATAGATTCTCCCACCAGGGGAAACAGTCCCTCAGTGTCTACTTTATCCAACCCTTTAAGGATCTTATATGTTTCAATAAGATCTCCCCTAATTCTTCTGTACTCTAGAGAATACAGCCCTAGTTTATTCAGCCTATCCTCATAGGTCAGTCCCCTCATCTCAGGCACTAACCTAATGGATCTACGCTGCACCCCCTCGAGGGCAAGTATGTCTTTTTTTTAAATAAGGAGACCAAAACTGCACACAATACTCTCGGTGCGGTCTCACCAAAGCCCTATACAGTTGCAGCAAGACTTCCCTACTCTTGTACTCTAAACCTTTTGCAATGAACGCTAACTGCCGTTCGCCTTCTTAGTTGCTTGCTGCAAACTAACTTTTTAACTTTGGTGTACAAGGACACCCAAATCCCTCTGCACACTAACACTATCTAATCTCTCTCCCTCTAGAAAATAATCTGTTTTTCTACTTTTGCTACCTAGGTGAATAACTTCACATTTCTCCACATTAAATTCCATCTGCCACCTACTCGCCCACTCCCCTCGTCTATCTATATCCCGTTGCAATCTTTTTGCATCATTCTCAGAGCTTACTCTCCCACCGAGTTTAGTGTCATCCGCAAATTTAGATACGTTACATTCAATGTCTTCGTCCAGATCATTGATGTAAATTGTAAATAGCTGAGGCCCAGCACTGACCCTTGAGGCACTCCACTAGTCACATCCTGCGAATTCGAGAATGACCCGTTTATCCCTACTCTGTTTTCTACCCGTTAGCCACTGTTCAATCCATGCTAATATGTACCCATTAATCCCGTGGGCCTTAACCTTGTGCCTTTTGTGTGGCACTTTCTCAAATGCCTTTTTAAAATCTAAATATACTATATCTACGGTTCCCCCTATCTAGCCTGCTAGATACATCTTTAAAAAACCCTAAAAGATTAGTTAAGCATGACTTCCCTTTTGTAAAGCCATTAGGCACTTGATAATGCAGTTGTGCATTGCAGTGACATTTTCTTTTAAACAGACCTACATATGTTTAAAGAGCCAAACAATGTGCTCAAAACTTACTCAGTCTGTACCAGCTGTGAGTAGTGCTCAGAAGGTTGCTAAATGGTTGCGGAATATGTCTTGGCTGACTGCTTTAAGAAGCTAAATGCAGTTAATCATTTCTATCTTATTAAATCCTTTCCCCCTGCTTAAATCTCACAGGCATTGGCTATGGACGCTGGGAATTGTAAGATACGCCTCAACAGGTACTGTTTTTTTGTCTTCGTACATTGTTGTCTTTGTTTCTAGTGCTGGCTATACTGATGAATTGAATAAAATAATAATCTTTGCATTTGATAAGGTCAGTCACATGAGGAGCGCGTCTCAAAGTGTTTCACAGGATTTACTGTAAAGTGTAGTGATTGTGTATTTTGTCGGCGAATGCAGCATAATTTTGCGCACAGCAATGTCCCACAAACAGCCATGAAATCAGTGCCCAATTCTATCTGTGGGTTTATTGGCCAGGACACCTTGGCAAGCTCTCATCTCTTCGAATATTGTTATCGGTTTAAACTCTTAACTAGAACACTGTGTACAATGATTGCCATTATTTTCTTTTGGGCTTATGTGCTTTTATATGGGTTCAGTATTGATGAACAAATATATGCAGCCAATTGGTTTTGTTTATGGTTGATCTGCTGTGATTTATAAACTGAACGGCTTCCTCCAGTCCGTATATTGAGTTTTGTTTTGTTGTGCAGGCAATGGCAGGATCGAGAAAGTTCTGATTGCAAATCGGGGAGAGATTGCCTGCCGGGTGATGCGCACGGCGAAGCGGATGGGTGTGCGCTCCGTAGCAGTTTACAGCGAAGCAGACAAAAACTCCATGCATGTGGCAATGGTACGACACCATGTAGGCGTTTTTACAGCGCCAGGAACAAAGTCAGTCACTCTATATTGTATGCTGAATTGTCTTAGTCTGTGAGGTCATTTTGTTTTAAAATTTAACGTTGTGCAGAATTATACAAACTTGTTGACGTTGGCCTTAATTTAGACTCATTTTCCTTACGAACTGCAGAAAACTGACTTCTAAATAAAGCCTGAATTTATGAATTTTCCCTAACTCTGTGCTATTCAAAATTGTTAAATAATGGTCTGAAGACTAAGACCATGTTGAATTTCAGGCTTCTAGCAACAGCATCAGGTACCACTAGGTTAGGGATTCTATCTGTGCTGTACGATTCTATGTCAGTGTTGGCACTCAAGAAGGGAAATGTATGCTGCAGGGTTTACCATTGAACTCTGATTTGTGGTATCTGCCAACTGTATGTCTTGCAGTATTTCAGTCTTTAGAGAATGTGAGAACGGGAAGCTGGGCTTATTGAAGCAACAGCTTGGTGCTATAATGGGAAGGACGGCAGGGCGGATATTCTGAAAGGATGAGATCGAATGGGCCAAAGGACTTTCTTCATCCAAACCTCTCTTGATCTCATGAAGTCTGCGTGACTTCATGATTCAGGTGATTCATTGTAATCTGAATGTTATTCACCAGGCGGATGAGGCTTATCACATAGGACCAGCGGCTTCCCAGCAGAGTTACCTGAACATGGAGAAGATAATCCAGGTGGCCAAATCAGCAGCGGTCCAGGTAACTGACCGTGTTGAGTAATTCTGCATTCCACATTCTAATAACCCTCTATGCTAAAAGAAAAGACTTTCACCGACATTGGGAGGGCTGTGAATGCATAATCAAATGCATATCAAATGCAAGGATTATTATTATCATTATTTTATAAACTGAGTACTCTCTCCCACACAGCAATGTTTAAGTTTAACAGGATAGTTTAACAGGATAGTTACCACACTAGCCTCACGGTTGTTCTTCTGTCAAATATATTCTTGAATTCTCTTAATTTCCAACCCCACCTGTGTTCCAGTAAATCTGTCCCTTAACTCAGCACCATTCCCTGGGTAGGCCGGTCTACTAACTGCCCCTGTAGATGAGTGTCCAGTATAATGGATTAATCAGTCATCAGCACAACAATCACGGGCAATTATTATTGCTGATATTCCAATAATGTGCACTTATATAGCGCCATACAATTGGGAAAACATGTCAAAGCACTTTCTAGGTATAGTGGGATTGCCATGCAAGAGTGGGAGCATAACTGGAGCCACTATATTGGATATAGTCAGTGTATAGGTGTGAATGTTGAAACTGCAGTATAGGTTACAGTATTCTAATGTGACTTTACTTTATGACTGTCCCAATCATTGGGCTTGTCTTCTTGTGTCCTTGTAGGCCATCCATCCAGGCTATGGTTTCCTTTCAGAAAACACAGAATTTGCAGAGTGGTGTAAAAAGGAGAACATCATCTTCATTGGACCCCCTTCATCAGCTATAAGAGACATGGGTATCAAGAGGTAGTGGAATGTAGCATGTGGAGCCCCGGTAACTGGGAAACAGACTATGGACAAATGGGATATAGACTAGCATAAATAGAAGAATCCATTTTCTAATAACCTTATAAAAATGGCCACACAATTTAGAAAAGTAAGTTTGTTGAAGTTCGAGCTGGGATCTGCGAGCTCCCAGTATTGATCTCCAGGTTTCAGGATGCCATAATCTTTTAATTCTTAACATGTTCCACTCGTCGGTGAGTCAGAGAGCACACATTTAAGATCATCATCAAAGTAAGGGAAAGGTTAAGAAAACTTTTTTCACACCGTCACTGGACGTGGAATGCCCTGCCAAAAAAATGGTTAAAGCAGAATCTGCAATTGCTTCTCAAAGGGTATTAGACATATATTTGAACAAAGATAAATACAAAAGAGCGTATTGGGTAAAGGGTAAGGAGTGGGACTAAATGGCTAACTCTTACAGAGAGCTGGAATGGCCTCCTTCAGAGGTGTAAAATTCTATGATTCTGTAGATTTTTTAAAATGTATTGTGAAAAGTGTAAGTACTTTGGAATTGACAAAAGTATTACAGAATTACTTTGTACATATTCCAATTGCTTGTGTCCATTTGTTGTTCCTACTTAGTACGTCAAAGTCTATAATGTCAGCTGCTGGTGTGCCTATAATTGAAGGTTACCATGGAGAAGAGCAGTCTGATCAACGTTTAATGGAGGAAGCCAAAATAATTGGGTTTCCTGTGATGGTCAAGGCGGTTCGAGGTGGAGGTGGGAAGGTAGGACATTCTCAACATTGGGCTGTTTCATCTCATCCTTCCAGAATACCCAACCCACCATTTTCCCCATCACAACAACAACAAAATTACATTTGTAAAATGCCTTTTAGGTTGGGAGGATGTCCCAAGGCGCTGAACACTTGGGGATCATGACCCGTGGGTGGGGGCGGGCACAGTGGGATGAGGGAGGGCAGAGACGTGGGAGGCTGGCTGAAGGCACGGAATCAAACTGCTTTTTAAATATTGCAGCATGCTGGCCTCATCCCATCCCCCCTTCCGAGTAGCTCTGTTCCAGTCGTTAATTACTCTCTGCATAAATACTTACTTCCGGGTGTCTGCTCTGAAATTGCCCTTTGGATAACCTAAAACTTCCACTCTTGTTCTACTGTCTCAGTGCATTGGAAGGTATTGTTCTGGGTTTTGAATCTCATTTAAAATGTTATACACTTCTGTAAAGTCTCCTGTGTAAGACATCCTGTCAAAACTCAAGAGCTCTAGCTTGTCTAACCGTTGCTGATGGCTCATTTATCTAACACTGGGGAGCATTCTTGTTGATCCCCTTTGCGCTGCCTCTAGGGCTTGGGCAGCCCCTTTATGTCATGGGTGCTAGATGAACACAAACAGTGGACATTCTCTGTGAAAAGCAGTCATTGAACTGCCCTTTTCGTGAGGTACCGGCTCAGCCCACCCCCCCACCACCCCCGCCGCCATGAGTTTGAGGTTTTGGTTGCCATGAGTTCAAATGAAGAATGGATTGTAAAAAAAACTGACTGCATCAGTGAGTTCCCCTCATTACTGAGGTGCCCACGAGGTGATGCTTAGCTCTGCCTTGATGTCATGGAAAATATAATTTCTTTTCTCCAGTAGTGTCTTTAATGCCCACCTGAAAACAGTCAGATGGAAATTGATTTAGAGTTTCATCAATGTTGGCACCATCAACAGAGTAGCAATTCTCCAGTACTGCCCTAGAGAATCAGCCTAGGCTGACTGTGGGTTGGGACCCAGAAGCGAGAGTGCCACAAACTCAACAAAGCTGACACATCCATTATGTGCTGCACGGATATTTGGGAAGGTTTATTGTGTGATTCTATCTAGGGGATGCGTATTGCTCGCTCAGAGGCTGAATTTTTCGACCAGCTGGAATCTGCACGAAGGGAAGCGAGGAAGTCCTTCAATGATGATGTTATGCTAATAGAAAAGTTTGTGGACCGCCCAAGGTATGAGGTTAATCTTTGAAAGCATGTATTTTATTGTCGTATTTATCCTTCTCCCTGGGACAGCCTAGTTCTTATTAATGATCTAAGACAGGTGACTTCTAACACTCTAACATTATCTGTTTCTGGGTGACCTTCCTGCAGTCCGAGTCTGGAAAGAGTCCGGATTTGCATCTTTGGGAGTTGTTACTTAAGGCTTTCTCTTTTAGACCCATTTTGTCCAGTCCCACTCACTTGATTTAGAAATCAGTTGAAATGTGCTGCTCAAATTTTCATATTTGCATGCAATACCAATGACTAAAATGCATGGTTCACTAACCAAGTGATGATGCTGAGCATGTTTTCACTAGAAAACAATGAGATATAGGCACAGGAAGAGGCCTTTCGGTCTGTCAAGCCTGTTCACCAGATTAGAAGATTTAATTCCATTTCCATGCCTTTTCTTCACATCCATTAATTCTCCTAAACATCCCAAGCTGATTCTGCCTCTTAAGCCTGGGCCAATGTATCGCGTGGTCTCACAACCCTCTTTCTAAAGAAATCTTTTGTGATCTCGCTTTAATTATTATAATAATAATCCTTGCATTTGATATAGTGCGTCTCAAAGCGCTTTACAGAATATACTATAAATTGAACTGTCTGTATATTTTGTGGGCGAAACGTGGCCGCCAATTGCACACAGCAGTGTCCCACAAAGAGTCATGGATTGAATGACCACATTTTTTTTTGAAGGGATTACGGAAAAACGATCCGCCAATCTTGACTAACAACTGGGTTCCTATTTACTGCTAGGGAAACAGAGGCACGTGGAATAAGGAAACTTGCCCAACGTTTCGCCCTATCTGGGAAACGAACCCAGGTCCTCTCGCTTGCGAGGCGAATGCTCTAACCACTGAGCTATAGACTCTTATCTGTTGGCGAGGCTGTATTGTGGTGCCTGAAAAACTTCAATTTGTTTTTGCAGACATGTGGAAGTGCAAGTGTTTGGTGACCACTATGGAAATGCCGTTTATTTGTTCGAGAGAGACTGCAGTGTGCAAAGGAGACATCAGAAAATCATTGAGGAAGCTCCTGGGGTAATGGATATGATGTCGGAAGGTTGCATTAGGATAAATTAACAATACATGTAATTTGATTTTTGTGGAATGTGATATTGTTTAATAATAATAATCCTTGCATTTAATATAGTGCCTTAGTCAGCTGCAGGATTCCACTAAGATGTCAGTGTGTATAGAACAATTCTATTTCGGTCAGCATTGCCTCTAACATTCACTTGTACTAGCATCTGTATTGCTTTTTTCCAGAGTCCATAGATCTTTATCGACAAAATACAATCAATCCACTTTACAGTATATTCTGTGAAACGCTTTGAGGTGTCTCAATAACGTGATAAGACATAATATCAAATGCAAGAATTATTATTATCTTGCTTAGCGAACTAATTTTATTAATATTAATTTTTATCATTATTTATTTTGCCCTTTTCATCAAGGCATTCTGGGATTCCAAAGCCCTGGCTCCTGACAACCTGAGTCTATTAATATCTGTAATTAGTTAAGTAAGCTGCATCCCTCTGGGGAGTGAGTGAGTACTCCATTCCAGACACATGGGAAATTTAGGTGGCCTACCTATACGGAATTCATTCTGGCTTGGATACTCTAAGCTTGTCAATGGGTTTCCGCATGTATCAGGCTGACCNAAAAAAACACACAACTCTTATTTTTTTAAACCAGTCTTAAATTATAATCCTTTATCCTTGAGCCCAGTGAATATATGGAATAAATGCTATATTGTTTTATATTGTGGTGAATATCATTTCTACAGAGTTTGTTTTTGGTCCTTTCCTGTGCAGCCTGGAATCAGTGCTGAGGTGAGAAAAGATTGGGAGAAGCTGCTGTCCGGGCGGCCAAAGCTGTTAGTTATGTAGGAGCTGGTAAGTGATCTGCGAGAACCAAACCCTCCAAAGCAAGTTAAGAATTGATTGGAAATGTTGAGGGAGTATCTCTCTCCCAGTGTCCTGGCCAATAATCTCCCAGATAAAATCAGTTATTCACTTCATGACTGTTGGTTGGACAATGTTGTGTGCAAATTGGCTGCACAGTCACTACACATAACGGTATCCTGTGAAGTGCTTTGAGGCATCTCAACAAGAAGGTGCTATATCAAATGCGAAGATTATTATTAATATAACATTCGTACAGTGCATTTTGTGCAACTGAAAAGTCTCAAAGCGCTTTACAGAACACGATTAGAAGGAAATAAATACATAAACATATAGGAAAGATCCAGAAAATGCCCATTTGCCCATTAAGTCCAATCCCAGGAGAATCGCTTCCTGTAATCCCTCTACAAAATGCTCTTGTTCCACCAGCTTGTTTGTTCAGAGTGCAAGTCAGTAGAATCACATGTTGCAGTGAAAGCCCTTGAGTTTAGACCATGGCCAAAGGGGGCTTCTAGTCATTTGGCTTTTGTTTTTCAGGGACGGTTGAATTTATCATGGATGCTAAGGATAATTTCTATTTCATGGAAATGAACACCAGACTGCAGGTGGAGCACCCAGTGACTGAGATGGTAACAGGAACTGACCTTGTGGAATGGCAGCTGCGGGTGAGTGAGAGATCATATCTATGGTTTCACAGCATGCAAACTTGTGACACAGTGTTGGCTATCGCTGCCGTTAGGGTTTTAATGGGGCTGACGTGCCTCCCCGCAGGTGGCTGCTGGCGAGAAGCTACCCTTGATGCAGGACGAGCTCTCTGTGCAGGGCCATGCTTTCGAAGCCAGGATTTACGCCGAGGATCCAGACACTGACTTCATGCCGGGCGCAGGGCCTCTACTTCACCTCTCCACACCTGCACCGGACACATTTACAAGAATTGAGACTGGAGTCAGGCAAGGTATTGCACATATCCTAAACAACAATAACAAATTGCATTCACACAGCACCTTTCACGTCGGGAGGACGGCCCAAGACGCTGGACAGTCGGGTTTGAACATAAGCTGTGGGTTGGAGTCAAGAGGGTTGGAGGGCAAGGGTGATGATGGGAAGATGACGGAAGGCACAGTCGAAAAGGTAGGTCTTGAAAAAAGGCAAGGGAGAGGGTAAGGCGGAGGGGTTCTGGGATGGAATTCCAGAAGGTGGATACAGAGGGCTAAAGTTCAGATGGTGGGGCGAGCAGGGCAAGGCAGGGAAAGTCCAGTTTTCGCCTGGTCTGACAGTTTATTAGATCACTACAGATCTTTTTATCCCATTTTCCTGCCTCTTCTCCACACCCCTATCACACTACCTGCTGAGTATCTGTCCATCTCCCTTTTAAACATCCAAGTAGATTTTGCCTGTGTGTGACTTCTGTGGAAGTGCATTCCACATTATCACAACCTTCTCTGCTAAGAAATGTTTTCTGATCCCACGCATCACTAAAATAAACAGTCAATTGACTTTACAATATATTCTGTGAAGTGTTTTGAGACATCTTGAAGATATGATAAGGTGCTATAATCAAATGCAAGAATTATTATTTATTGTTATAACCAGCATTTCTCTAATTACAATTTATACATTTTTTACTAGTTCCAGTATATAGTTTGGGACATGACATGTGCACATGATGGCCAGAATGGTGGAAGGCGAACTGAACGCACCTTGGTCTTCTTTTGTCTAGCAATTCTTTTGTTCTTAATTTGAACAAATACCGCTTGTTCTTTACCAGAGGAAGAGTCGTTCACTCCCCTAGCTTGTTAATTCCTTTCATTATTTTAAACTCCTTGAATCAGATCATCCCTAAACCTCCTCAGCTCCAAGACGTTCTATTTCAAGCACTTCCATCAGATTCAAAGGAACATTCTCAAATGGCCCTTTTAATTTCTTCACCTTAAGCAGACTCCCCCGCGCCCCCATTCCACACACAAAAATATATGTATATATATATGTAGGAATATGTTTTATTTTTTCTGCCCCTTTTCAGGTGATGATGTCTCTGTGCACTATGACCCTATGATCGCGAAGCTGGTAGTTTGGGGTGAGGACCGCACGGCAGCACTGAGCAAATTGAAGTATTGCTTGCGTCAGTACAACGTAAGCCACTCACGACAAGCAGGGAGGGAGGGAGGGTGTCTGCTGTTTGAGTGATGATAATTACTGAGTGATAAAAGTTGCTGGTGCAGATCCTGCTCTGCGATAACTTACCCGTAAGTTGTCCTTGAAGAAAGGACTAAGCTCACATCTCAGCTGTGCTAGGGCAATGCTGCCGCTCCACATCCACTGCACAGCAGAATAAACTACAGCATCTTGTGGTTACTCCCAGCAATGGGAATGACCCCTTCCCCAAACTTAGTGGTGTGAATAATGTGGTAGAGGTTATAATTATCACTTCCCCAAAAAGTGCGGCCGACATATCAAGAAATTTTGGTAGTGGACTTCCTCCTACTCCCAGCACTCTCCCATCTTGCCCCCTCCCCCTCCCATCTTGCCCCCTCCCTCTCCCATCTTGCCCCCTCCCCCTCCCATCTTGCCCCCTCCCATCTTGCCCCCTCCCCCTCCCATCTTGCCCCCTCCCATCTTGCCCCCTCCCTCTCCCATCTTGCCCCTTCCCCCTCCCATCGTGGCCCCTCCCTCTTCCATCTTGGCCCCTCCCTCTTCCATCTTGGCCCCTCCCTCTCCCATCTTGCCCCCTTCCTCTCCCATCTTGCCCCCTTCCTCTCCCATCTTGCCCCCCCTCCCATCTTGCCCCCTCCCCTCCCATCTTGCCCCCCTCCCGTCCTTCCCCCCCCCCCTCCCGTCCTTCCCCCCCCTCTCTCCCGTCCTTCCCCCCCTCTCTCCCGTCCTTCCCCCACCCTCTCTCCCGTCCTTCCCCCACCCTCACTCCTGTCCTTCCCCACCCCTCTCTCCCGTCCTTCTCCCCCCCTCTCTCCCGTCCTTCCCCCCCCTCCCGTCCTTCCCCCCCCTCTCCCGTCCTTCCCCCCCCCTCTCTCCCGTCCTTCCCCCCCCCCTCTCTCCCGTCCTTCCCCCCTCTCCCGTCCTTCCCCCCCTCTCTCCCGTCCTTCCCCCCCCCCCCCCTCTCCCGTCCTTCCCCCCCACATCCTTCCCCCCCCTCTCTCCCGTCTCACGTCCTTTTCCCCCCCCTCCCGTCCTCCCACCTTCCTCTCTCCCGTCTTTCCCCCTCCCCCCCCTGTCCCGTCCTTCCCCTCCCCCCCCTCTTCTTTCCTCCCTCTCTCTCCCGTCCTTCCCCCCCCCTCTCTCCCGTCCTCCCCCCCCCCCCTCCCGTCCTTCCTCCCCACATCCTTCCCCCCCCCCCCCCCCGTCCTTCCCCCCAGCCCCTCTCCCGTCCTTCCCCCCCTTTCCTCTCTCTTTCCTGTCCCCCCCATCTCTCCCTTCTTGCCCCCCTCCCTTATTTGCCCCCTCTCCCCCCTCTCTCTCGCTTCCTCCCTCTCTCCTTTCTTCTCCCCTCTCTCCCTTCTTGCCCCCTCTCTTATTTGCCCCCTCTCTCCCTTCTTTCTCCCGCCCCCCTCTCTTCCTCCCACCCCCGACTTCAGGTCCCCCAGCCTTTTTGCGCCACCATCTTTGTTGCCCCCAATCATTGCCTTGACAATGGCTGATTTGAGAGTCTGGCTGTGGAAGTCTATGTCGCTTTGATTCCCCCCCCCTGTGTTGTGACAGATTGTAGGTCTAAGCACCAACGTCGATTTCTTGCTTAGCCTGGCCACACACCCTGAATTTGAGGCTGGAAATGTGCACACTGACTTCATCCCGCAACACTGCAATGACCTGTTCCCAGCAAAGAAACCCCTCAGCAGAGAGGTCCTGTGCCAGGCAGCTCTCGGTCACATATTGCAGGAACGGACTCAAACCAACACGTTCAGAGCACAGTCACACGGTAAGGATTCCTTGTGTCCCGTCTGTACCCTGAATGTACCAAATTGAGCAATTTTGTGACAATACAGAATCATTGTTGGTTCTGAATTATTTTTCAGATCCTTTTTCTCCATTCGCCAGCAGCAATGGGAGGAGGTTAAATGTTGTGTACATCAGAAACCTAACACTACAAGATGGAGAGAACAGTAAGTCATCTAATATTTTGCTACTACAGCTCTCTTCTCTTCAATTAAACCTTTTTAGGAGATTTTTTAAAGAAAGAAGGAACTTGCATTTTAATGGAGTCTGTTGCATTGAAATATCTGAAAGCAGTTTAGAGTAAATATCTGTTTGATGTTCAACGTGTCTTGGCCAGTGCTGATAACTCTGTGAATATATATGTCTGTTATCAAGGAAAGATAAATAAATCTACTGCGCTGTCTCTGTCTCCCCCACCCAACCCAGAAAACATGGCCTGTGCTGTGGAATGCCGAAAAAATAATAATAATTTGGTCACTCAATCCACGACTGTTTGTGGGACGCTGCTGTGCACAATTGGCTGCTGTGTTTCGGCCACAAAATATAGTCAATTCACTTTACAGTATATTCTGTGAAGTGCTTTGAGACGTCTTGAAGACATGCTAAAGAGGCTATGTTAAATTTAAGGATTATTATTATTATGATATTGTACATAGAGCCAGCATATCAGTGGATAATATTTTTGTTTTTGTTTCCTTTCTCCTTCCCTAAACCATCGCTCAAACAGAAGTGGATGTGGCTGTTGAATATAACCATGATGGAACCTATAATGTGCAGGTAAGCTGACTTTCCCCCCCCCCCACAAGTCACATATGACTGCTGTAACATCAGCATCCTCATGTGTTTGTTGTATGTAGGGAAGACAGTGTGCTGGATGAAATGCCTCCTAACTGGCCTTTCACAATCAGAAACTTGAGTTTTTGGGGTTTTCTAGACTATCTTTAAGCATGTCATAAAGGGTATGTTCCTGTATTGGCTGTGTTGACCCATCCACTTCCAGCGAGCTCCAGCCTGCTCCACGTCCCTCGCCCAACCATCGCGGGTTGGGCCTCCAGCCTCTCTTCCCCCACCCTCTGGAACTCTATCCCACGGTCACTCTGCCTTGCTCCCTCTCTTGCCTTCTTCAAGGAACGTCTCAAGACCCTCCTCTTCGAATGCGCTTTTGGTTGCCCTCCTACCCCCGTCCTCCACTCCTCCCAATCCCAACCCCCAAATTAGTCAGGTCCAATTCCCTGACTGTCCAGCGCTTGGGGCGACCTCCCAATGAGAGAGGTGCTATACAAACGTCATTTGTTGTCTGCTATAGCTCTACGATGTTATTAACTCAATAAAACTAGGTTTCAGTTGCACTTAAGAGTCCCATGTTTAATTCTCCCGGGATTCCAGAGCTCTTCCCCAGATTTACACTCACACTTTAATTATACCTCAGATTGATGGACAGGTGTTCCACGTGTTTGGGGAACTGATCCAGGAGCCACATGCCACGTATCTGAGCTGCTCTATCAATGGAATGGTTTCCAGGCCCAAGTTAGTTATCACAGATAACAGTCTTCATCTGTTTTCAAAGGTAAGGCTTTTCTTTTTGGTTTCAGGCACAAGCAAAACATTTCAGCTCTTTTTCCCCCCCATTTCACAGTGTTGTTGAATGTTGAAATGACTCTTATTACAGGAGGGAAGTGCCCAGGTTAATAGCCCTGTGGCCAAGTATTTGACCGGAATCGATACCTTTGTCTCTCAGGGAGGAGCAGTGGCACCAATGACAGGAACTATTGAAAAGGTAACCATTGCACCCATTGAATTGAAGCCTTTTGAGGCGATCACTAAAATGTGATCCCTTTTTGAGGATCATCTCCCCCTGGCTCGGCATCATGCACCGCCACTGTCAAGTGCACTGGGATGCAACCCTGCGTGAGGGGAGCTATATAAATGCAAGTTGCTGTGTTATCATTTGCTTTGCAAATGTTCTCTATTTGCCACTTGCTGTGAAAGAGCAAACGAGATCCTGAGTAGGAGCCCATCAGGACCAAACGTGAGTCTGATAGGTTCCCACCACATCTAATTGTCTATTATTTTTAAGAGGTTGTGAAGGGCAGGATTAGGGCAAACACCAGCGAATATTGCTACTCCCTGGGTAATCAACAGGTGGGAATGAAACCGACCTGTCCAGGTGGTTACTGCGAGGACTACCTGAATCAAGACTAAGATAGACAGCTATTTCTTACTTTCAGAGGTCACCTGAAGGCTTACTTCTTGGAATGCATTTTGGGTCTCTTTCCCCTTCTCACCCTCTTCAACTCCCCACCCCCGTTCGGGTGCCTACCCACCAGCTATGTGAGACGCTTTGAGACAGACTTCAGATGCGAAAGGTGCTATATAAACTGTATGGTCTTATAGTTGAAAGTTGTGTATTAAGTGCAATGCTGAGGGAGCGGGAGGACTGTTGATAAATGTACAAGATATCATTGTCCAAAGGTTGTCATTCTGATAGAAATTTGGAACGTTGCAAAGGCTCACAAACCATAAATAACAAGAATAATGTAGTCAACAATATTGTATTTGATTAGAGGTAATCTTTTGGAGGGATTTTGATGTGCTCTCTGCTTTCCCAGCTTGTGGTTTGTGTATAACGGGTTCCACAAAGTGCCACTGTTGGTTGTCACAGTGAGGCATTTCTGCCCATGGTGAGTGACAAGTCAAACAGAGGTCACCTCAAACTCTGGGCCCTGTGTATGTGTCTGAACACGTGATAAGATTGTCGCATTTTCTGTCACTCAGACCCAAAGAGAAACAGGACAGGGAGGGAATAGTTTTGTCCTTGCTGCTCGAGCCTTTTTAGTGCTGACGGAATCTGTGATGTCAAACACAAAGCAGATCACGAGCACAGCCACTCTATTGCACTTACACAACAATACAGAGTTTAAGTCATTGACATTTCAGCAGAGGAGTCCAGGGCTCTCCTGGTGAAAGTTTTTTGCTTCATTGTTTATCTAATTGATTTGAATGGCGTGTTGGGCTGCATTTTGATTGCCACTTGTGCGGAATATAGTGAGGGCATTTTTGCTTTATTTGGACAGTCCTAATAATGAGATGGTTCTATTTTCAAGGTGTTTGTTAAGGAGGGTGACCTGGTGCAGATTGGGGATCCTCTGATGGTGATGATAGCCATGAAAATGGAGGTGAGCAACGCATCCTGTTTGAGCCCAATGCTAAAATACCCATCTTATAATCAGCATTTCTCTTTATTCAGCTATTGCAGGTATCTCGAGCTTCAACTTGACATTGATCATGTGTAGGGGTGTCTGAATCATCCCCAACTAGACAATGGAAGCTTTATCAATGAATATTATTTACAGCCTTTCTCTAAAAGACATTTCCTGTTGACTGCTCCATTCTCTTTCCCGCCCCCCCACTTCCACCCAATCTGTTTGCAGTGACTATATATGTATAAGCAATGTCCGTGGCTCTTGAAGACTTGTCTGGGAGAAGTTATTGAGCGTGATTGCGCAAGAGAGGCGAAATTAATATCCACATCGTTTAGTGATGAAATCACTAAAGCACACCTGGGTTCATGACCCCATCCATTAGGGTTGGCTCAATCCTATTGCACCTCTTGAGCTCAGTAATGTCCAGGGATCAGTTCTCTAGTAGCATCATGATGTACTTGTTGTTTTCAAGCTGGAGCTATTCACCAAGTTGTACCGAAATAGAAAACTAACCATTACAATTCAAGCCAAGAGGTCTTCTTAAGTCTGCCAATTAAAATGGCCACAAACTATTCATTGGAGCACTTATGGTAACTAATACAGTAAGCTGTTTCATCACCATGGGATGCCGTATTTAGACTGATTGGTAATGGATCTTAGTGCCAAGACACATATCGTTAGCAAGATTATTATTAAACCACTTTCAAGATGTCTTCTTTAAAATAAAATACGCATTAGCGCACCACGCAGACCGATTCTGGTCAAACCTGGTCGTCCCAGAAATTATTTCCCCTCTTTTCACAGCACACCATCCGAGCTCCAAAAGCAGGCGTAATTGAAAAGGTTCTGTTCAAAGAGGGATCGCAAGCAAACAGGCATGCTGCATTGGTAACGTTTGTAGAGGAAGAGGATTCGAAATGAGTTTGGCTGCCTTAATCTGCCTTAATCTGCTTTAGGAACTAGCGTTGTCGTGATTCCCCTCCGATGATCACTGAGTGAAGTTACACGCTCCTAACTCCACAACTTGAATGGACTGTATATTAAAATGAAGAGTTTTATATCCATACTTTTAATGAGCCTGAAAACCCAACAATAAATAATTATGTATTAATTTGCGATTTATAGAGTGTGATGTTTTTACTCAAATAAGTTGTACACTTTACATCTATAGAGTCTCACACGAGCATTCTTGTGATAGTTAATTCTGGTGGTCACAATGATTATGTGAATAGCATCCATTATATAGAACAGCTAACCTCCAGTGCTCTCTTTCGTTCTCATTCAACATTTCAGTGGCATAACAATTCAAAACCGCTTTACGTTGATAAATATCTAGGGAAATAGCGATGGATTATTTCCACTGGTTGGCACAGTAAGAAACATTTAAGATCATAGCTAAAAGGATTTAAGGGGGGGATCGGAAATATTTCTTTACGTGGACTGTTTGGACTGTGCAATTCTGTCTGCCATCATCTAGTTCAGGCAGGGTCCATGAACTATTTTGAAAGGGAGTTAAATAGACGCTTGTAGAACTGGTTGATTAAAGTGATTGAGCAGAAGAGTGAGGTTTACACTACGTGGCTCCAGTGGAGAAAACAGCAACACAAATTTGATGGGCTGAATCTAAAAATAATCTTTGCGTTTGATATAGGGCTGTAAAGTGAATTGACTGTATATTTGTGGGTGAAACGCGGCAGCCAATTGTGCACAGCAGCGTCCCCGCAAACAGTCACGGATTGAGTGACATTATTATTATCAGGCGAGTTAGCTTCCCAATGTGCACATGCTCCGCTGGCTAGTACAAATGCTGATAACACTGTTATCTAAAGCGACTTTGAATTAGGTAGAGACTGTTGATGCAAGATAGCAGAGGTACACGAGGAAGATGCACTCACATTGCTTTGCACTCATCAAGCAGAGCAACGCGTTCAATCTAAACAACAATCATGATGTGTAACGCTACCAAATTATATTGGAGTAAGGGACTTTAAATGTGTTGTTTCTCTTAATTAGATATAGAGTAATATCTGGAGTCCTGTAGCTCAGTGGTTAGAGCACTGGCCTCGCAAGCGAGAGACCTGAGTTCAATTCCAGGCAGAGGGCGAAACCTTGGGCAAGTTTCCTTACTCCACACAGAGCCTAATAATAATCCCTCCAAAACCAAAAACAATAATAAATTGGTCATTTTCAATCCACGACTGTTTGTGGGACATTGCTGTGCGCAATTGGCTGCCGCGTTCGCCCACAAATATACAGTCAATTCACTTTACAGTATATTCTGTGAAGCGCTTTGGGACGTCCTCCCGACGTGAAAAGCGCTATATCAAATGCAAGGACTATTATTATTATTATATGATTAAAAGTCTATAGAAGTCTGTTAAACCTTTATTCTATTATACTGAGTTATTTGAGGAACGCTTTTTAGCTTTCATAGGTGCTGTTTTGTCAAAAATCAGTCTACAGATCAAACTCACACATTTTTGCAGGAATATTTATTCCCGGGCGGGGCAAAACCTTAGGCAAGTTTCCTAACTGCATGTGCATCTGTTTAAGTAGGAAACTGGTTGTTAGTCGATTGTCAGATCGCTTTCTGGCTGTAACATTCTATGATTGTAGAGTTGCTGTATAATTCTCCAGTGAGTATGTACGAGGCAATTTCGAGACTCCACTTGCTATCATACAAGTATGGACGAAGCTGTCATTCACAATGTGGTGCAGCAATGCAGTGTTATTCCCGCATGCTAAAGCTTCCAATAGAAGCCAGACTGTGCAGATGAAGCAGCGAGCAGAAGAGGTGCTCTCCTTGGATGAACAGAAAGTGACTGAAAACACCAATACTTAACAATGTGGAGGAGCCGATCACCTGTGAGATGTTTGAGGCTGAGGAACACATAACCCAACCGAAACAAAGAGACAACAACAATAATAATACTTTTATTTGATATAGTGCCTTATCACGTCATTGAGACATCTCAAAGCGCTTCACGGGTTGCACTGTAAAGTGAATTGACTGTATTTTGTAGGTGAAACGCAGCAGACAGTTTGCTTATAGCAATGTCCCACAAACAGCCATGGAATGAGTGACCAGTTTTTACTTGGGGTAATCTTGGCCAGGACACTGGGAGAGAGAAATTTTCGAATAGCACCGTTGGATCTTTAACATCCACCTAAACAGGCAGATGGGACTTCAATTTAATATCTCATCTGAAGGACGGCACCTCTCAGTGGGTCGGTAGGTTGTGGGTTCGAAGCACTGTGTCGGGACTTGGAATCACATAGTCTTGAGAAGACACTCCCGACACCACCACCCCAGCGTTGTATTGGAGTGTCATCTTAAACGATGTGATTCCAAGTCCCGAGATGGGACTTTAAACCCTGAACCTACTGGCTCGAAGGCAAGAGCGCTACCACTGAACGGGCTTACACACGACTTCACAAAATGGAAAGAAATGGAAAGTCCAGTTCCCTTCTGGGCTTTGGTTTGTAAGATGGAATTTCCTCCCAACAAAATATTGTGCTGCCAACTGCTTGCAAACCAAGATGCTTGCGAACAGATTAACTTCACAGCTATTTTCTATGCTATTTTGATAGTGTAATCTCTGTCCGAGTGCTTTCTAATGTGCTACTACAGAGCTTGCTAATTGCCCTGCAGTGCGGAATGCAGGTTGAACAAAAGGCCTTTTATTGTGGTGCTGCAATGAAATATCAATGGTCATCTGTTATTATTGGAAAGACAGCGGTGATTTTATTTCTTTGAAATGAAACACCTTATTTGTGCACATAAATGAGGTAAACTAATCTCTGCATACTATAATCAAGTAGTTACCGAGTGGGGCAATGCTTGCCAGTAAACTCAAGAGAATTGGATAGCTATTTGGCAATTAAATAGATTGGGGCAGAGAGTAGTGCAGGTTTGCTTTTATAATAATGCTTGCATTTCATATAACGCCTAAACACGACTTCGAGACGTCTCAAAGCGCTTCACAGAATATACTGGGAAGTGAATCTACTGTATATTTTGTGGGTGAAATACGGCAGCCAATTGCGCACAACAGCGTCCCACAAACAGTCGTGGATTGAGTGACCAAATTATTATATTTTTTTTAAACGATTTTTACCCTGGAAAGCAATCTGACAATCGACTAACAACCGGTTTCCTATTTAAACAGAGGCGTGTGGAGTTAGGAAACTTGCCTAAGGTTTTGCCCCGCCTGGGAATATCCTGCAAAAATATGTGTGAGTTTCATCTGCAGACTGATTTTTGACAAACAGCACCTACAAAAGCTAAAAAGCGTTCCTCAAATAACTCAGTACGATAAAGTTTCAACAGTCTTCTGTAGACTCCTTTAATGATATTACACTATAGTCTAATTGAGAGAAACAACACAACATTTAAAGTCCCTTACTCCAATATAATTTGTCAGCATTACACATCATGACTGTTGTGTTTAAATTGAACGCGTTGCTCTGCTTGATAAGTGCAAAGCAACGTGAGTGCATCTTTCTCGTGTGCCTCTACTATCTTGCATCAAACTAATTCAAGGTCGCTTCAGATAAAAGTGTCGCCAGCATTCGTACTGGCCAGCGGAGCATGTGTGTCTTGGGAAGATAACTCGCCTGATTCCTGTTTACATTGCTGATGTAAGGTCTGAGCTCTTTTGAATCAGGAAACTTGGTCTTATATCATTGCCGTATATTTGTGCAATAACGTATTATCCTTGGCATTTTGATAAGAGGTCAAACCACCTTGAAGCACCTCGCAGGTAATTGCCATGAAGTGTAATGACTGCATTTGAGGGGAAAAACAGCATCCAATTTGTGCGCAGCACAAACAGAATCGCTCATTCCCAATGAAGCCGGAAGATCATTGGCTGAGACAGAATCTCCCTTCTCTAGTCACAGGATATTTAGCTCCAACCACAACAACAACTTGCATTTGTATAACGCCCTTCATGAGGGGTAGCTTCCAGGAGCGCTTGACAACGATGTTGCCTGACAACGAGCCAGGGGGAGAGGGAGGGGGGAGGTGACTGTAAGAACGATCAAAAAGGAAGGTCTTTAGGCAGGATTTGATTGTGGGGGGCAAGGTGGAGGAATTGAGGGAGAGAGTTCCAGAGTTTCGGGGCATAATAGTTGAAGTCACGGCCACAGATGGTGGATCGAAGGGCACAAGGGTCAATGAGGAGGCCAGAACCAGCCGAGCGGAGGCAGCGGGTGGTGGAGTGGAGGGTAAGCAGGTCGGAGAGGTTGCGAGGTGCGAGGCAATTAAGTGATTTGAGCTCCGACTTGACCGGACAATAAAGAGCTTTCCCGCACTGCATCAATAACAATAACAGAGCCGTACGGATTGTGATTGACAAATTAAATTGCTATTTAACTATTGTGATTTCTACATAATGGAAACGGAGGGGCTCATCTTGATTTACACTAAAACAAACTTGATCTTAACCTCTTGCGTGTTCTTGATAGTAATATAATAATAATCCTTGCGCGGTATCACGTCTCAAAGCGCTTCACAGAATATGCCGTAAAGTGGATCGACTGCATTTTGTGGGCAAAATACACCCTGAAGATTTAACTCCATGCTAATTATTTTGTGAGCAAAATGCACAGTCGATCCACTACGGAATATTTTGTGAAGCGCTTTGAGATACGGTACATGTATATTGGTTTGAAACAGCGTGTGTGTGTGCGTGTGCATGTGTGTTTAGCTGCCCATGTTTCATTTCTCTTTTAAGAGTAATTAACACGCAAATTGCCACTTGCTTGCATTTGGAAATGACGTGAAATGCTATTGTCAGAAGTGTCTAGATTAACTGCTGTGGTCCACGTCTGGACCAGCTTCTAGTCCTATCAGTGCTTGCAGTAAGTTTTTGTGGGTATAAATGGGGTTCCTCATCCCACTTGTCCTGCCCCCTCCCCAAATAGTGTCTCAATCGATGCCGCTGGAATATGAGCTGATCTGCACACCACAGTGCGCTCACAATGGAGGTAGCCGGACAATCTCGCTGCCCCTTAACACAACTCTGTAGTTAGCTTGCGAAACCACTGAAGGGTCAGCATAACTATAGGCTTTGTATTTCCAGGATGGGCTCTTGCTGCGCATCGCGTCACCCGCTCGCTCAGTCTCCGGTTGGGCGCTGCAGTCAGCAACGAGAGCTCCGACCACCGAAGGGGATTGCTCCTCTCCATCAACCTGGTGCTCTGTAGCTGAATCCTGCAAGTCCTGGGACCGAGGGAGAGCGCAATTAAAGCCTTCTGGCTTGGCTCTTTCAGAGTCACTTTCTTGGAGTTGTTGGGTTTTCCAGTAGATCCTGGGCTCTGTTTTTTGTGGGATCCGCTTGAACCGTTTCTGTGATTGGGCGAGTGATTCGGGGCCGCTGGACCGTGAAGCTCTCATCCGCTCGCTCTTTCCCCTCGATGGTTCCGCTATGTTTACAGCCTCTGTGCTGCTCCGTACGGAGGTGGGAAAGGACTCTTCAACACCCCCCGAAAAGTGGCAGCCAATGTGTGGCGGGTCGATAACCCTAGAGCCAGCTTCACTGGTTTCTCCTGTCAAACCTGTCTTTGGGACATCTCGAACCCTAGGTGCCAGGGTTTGGCTGCTTTGGGCACGGCTTGTGTCAGACATACTGCCAGGGATGCCAGGTGGATTGTGCGAGCCTGGCTCTTCTACAGCAAACTCCCAATGAACACTTGGTACCTGACTTCCAGAAATGCACTCATTTGTCTCGGCTGGTTTGCTGAAGCGATTACCTTTCCTCAGATCGCCGACTGGAAGGTGAGTAGCTGGATATAAAACTTCAGTAACCGGTTGTGCAATTTGCTCATTTATAGCAATGTCTTTGTCCTTAGCCTGAGAGCCCTGAGAAATGTGAACACCAGTCTCAGAGCCCTTCCGAACATGTACACCAGTCTCAGAGTCACCCAGAACATATACACCAGTCTCAGTGTCCTTCAGAACATGTACACCAGTCTCAGAGTCCTTCAGAACATATACACCAGTCTCAGAGTCACCCAGAACATGTACACCAGTCTCAGAGTCCTTCAGAACATGTACACCAGTCTCAGAGTCACCCAGAACATGTACACCAGTCTTAGTGTCCTTCAGAACATGTACACCAGTCTCAGTGTCCTTCAGAACATGTACACCAGTCTCAGTGTCCTTCAGAACATGTACACCAGTCTCAGAGTCCTTCAGAACATGTACACCAGTCTCAGAGTCACCCAGAACATGTACACCAGTCTCAGAGTCATCCAGAACATGTACACTCGTCTCAGTGTCCTTCAGAACATGTACACCAGTCTCAGAGTCTGTGAAAACGTTTAAATCGGTTTGAGAAAACTTCAGATGGTGTACAAGAGTCTGAGTGTCCTTGAGAATGTGTACATCAGTCTGAGAATCTTTGAGAATGTGTACACCAGTCTCACTAGTAGTTGCAGAATATACAGTTTCTTTGTCCTCAGTCTGTGAATTCCCAAGCGCACGCACATCAGTCATGTCGTCAGTCTGTGAATATTTTTCTGTGCGCACAATAGTATTGCCTGCAATCTGAAAGCACATGTTTTTCGTGTCACTCTCACAATTCGGTAGTAAGTCTGCCTGAGGATTAGTCTTGCTGCCGTTCTGAGGATAACGCACAGTGCCTTTGTCCTCTGTGTTAGAATTCCATACCATATGCACATCAGCCTCACCAGTAGTGTGTGAATGGACAATCTGTGCATCTTCAATCTGACATACCTGGAGTAGAGGCTTATCAGTCAGACCGTGCGGTAGTGTGTGTGCATTATTCTTGCTATCTGTCCGGGCAGGCTCAATATCTTTGTCCTTAGCCGGAGGAGTCTGTGGCAAATGTGCCTCAGCCTCACTGGCTTTCTGTGTGCACCTGGGATTTCCTTCCTGAGATATTGGCAGTTGTAGAACAGCAGGACACAGAGCAATGGGCTCATCAACAGCACTTGGGTGTTCAGTGGCAACTTCCACCTCTCTACCATCAATAGACGGGCATTTTGTTGGCACGGTCAAGTCAGGGGTACTGTGTATTTGGGTAACGTTGGTGTGGCCTTTGGGCTCTGTGGGAAACTGTGGGGTGAGTGGGATGCCTCCCACAACCTTCTTCGTGTTGGTACATTTTTTCAAAGGCACTTTTTCCCGGGGCTCATCAAACTGGAGCTTCTCAAACTGACTGCGAAGCCCGATCTTTGTGAACTTTGACTGCAGGAGCTGGAATCTATTGGGTCGGATCTTTCCCTCAGGCTCGAGCATTTTCCCTTTGGCATAGGCGTCAAGTGCCGTAGACAAGATCGTTAGACAAATGGAGTCATCGCTGCTGGTGTTCTTTCCCAGCAGGGCCATGTAGTTCAGTAGGTTATTGATCTCATCTGCCGTGCGTTTGTTCACAAACCTCTTGGCAATCTTCCGCACATCTATAGCTCGTGCCTGGTCTGCATCGAGCTCGAGAGACCTGGAGCGAAACAAAGGCCAGGGATTTGGGATCACAAAGGTCTGATTTGGTGAATGATTGCAGTTACTTGGCCTGCCTCGTCGAAGCGTTAAGAATGCTTTCAAATCGTCAAGTTCAGAACAAACTAAACTGATCGGGAACTGCAGGCCCCGAACAAAAAGCTCTGCTGTTAGACCAACAGAAGTTACCTTAGTAACTCTATCAGATTTGTCTTTGTATTTTTGCACAGCCGGGTGTCTGACACATATGGAAACCCATCACCATGCGTAAGAGTCTCCAAACCAAACTGAAAATTTTGTCCATAATAATAATAATCCTTGCATTTGATATAGTGCCTTATCACGTTATTGAGGCGTCTCAAACCGCTTCACAGAATATATTGTAAAGTGAATTGACTGTGTATTTTGTGGGTGAAACATGACAGTCAATTGTGTACAGCAGTGTCCCACAAATAGTGGTGAATTGAGTGACTAATTTATTACTTTGTTTTTAAGCAATTATTACCCCCGGAAAGTGATCAGCCAATTGACTAACAACCGGGTTCCTATTTACTGCTTGGTAAACAGAGGCGTGTGGAGTAAGGAAACTTGTCCAACATTTCACCCTGTCGGGGATTGAATCCAGGTCTCTCACTTGCGAGGCGAGAGCTCTAACCACTGAGCTGCAGGACTCCCACCTGCACTACACATACATCCCACCTACACATGGAAATCCCAGAGATATGTTGTTGGAATGGAATGTGCACTCTCTCCCTAAAGGGTCGTATCCTGCTTACCTAATTCCGGAAAGTATTAGGCGCAGGTTAGCAAAAGCCAAGGCTTGGAGACCCCAGAATGAGTGTTAGGGTAACTGCTGGAGCCTAACCGGCTAAACCGCATAGCTTGCCATTGATAACCAGATTGGCTGTGCTATTTTTGGAATAAGTAAACAGCCAAACAGCCAATAGTGGAGTCCTGTAGCTCAGTGGTTAGAGCGCTCGCTTTGCAAGCGAGAGACCTGAGTTCAATTCCAGGCAGGGCGCCAAACCTTGGGCAAGTTTCCTTACTCCACACAGAGCCTAATAATAATCCCTCCAAAAACAAAACAATAATAAATTGGTCATTTTCAATCTACGACTGTTTGTGGGACATTGCTGTGCGCAATTGGCTGCCGCGTTCGCCCACAAATATACAGTCAATTCACTTGGGACGTCCTCCCGACGTGAAAAGCGCTATATCAAATGCAAGGATTATTATTATTATTATTATTATAAATTGGGGTCTAAAATAAAGTTTGGCCTAATCATGTTCAAACTGACACAAAAAGCTTAATTATTTATTTCATCCCCACCTCTCCCCCATGAAAAGGGGTAACAGATGATATCGTATTTCTCATTGGTTAATTACAATTTTGCACACAAAACACACAGTCACTCACTTTACTGTAAATCCTGTGAAGCACTTTGAAACGTCCTCCTGACGTGAAAGGCACTATATCGGGTAACTCAATAATTATAATGATAGATTTTGTGTTCCACACTTTTAATATAACAATTTGCATTTATACAGCAGAGGGAAATGTCCCAGAGCGCTTTCACGCAGGATAGCGTCTCGAGAGCTGGTAATCTGATCGTTACCTTTCTGGATTAGCGATGTAGTACAGCTTCCTCCCCAGCTGCTCCAGTTCATCTTTAAACTCCAGGTTAAGGTAAAGGCTTGAAGGAACATTGTCAAATCCATACTGAATTCCATACAGGCAGCCTGCGATAGCTCCCGTTACATCACTCTCTCCTGTAGGGTCACAATTGGAAGATAAGAACAACGTAATCAGACTCGCAAACTAACAATAAAGTTGTTAATGCAGTAACCCTTTCATAGCTTAATTAGGTACATTTTGACTCTTATCCTGGGTCAGAAGCTTATGATTAGTTCAAGCCCCATGTAATGATGGAAATAATTGCATAAGTAGTGTGGAATGAGGCCATTGAAGGATTTATAGATAATAATCCTTACATTTGATATAGCGTCTTATTACCTCATTGAGACGTCTCAAAGCACTTCTGTAAAGTGAATTGACTGTATATTTTGGGGGCAAAATGCGGCAGCCAATTGCACACATCAGTGTCCCACAAACAACTGTGGATTGAGTGACCCAAAATTTTTTTTTTTGGTGGTATTATTACCCCCGGAAAACGATCCGCCAATCGACTAACAACCGGTTTCCTACTTACTGCTGGGTAAACAGAGGCGTGTGGAGTAAGGAAACTTGCCTAAGGTTTCACCCAGCCCGAGAATCGAACCCGGGTCCTCTCGCTTGCGAGGCGAGCACTCAAAGCACTGAACTACAGGACTTCACAGTTGGTGATATTTGCTTTCCTGCACCCAATCCCATTTTGGTTGTTTTGAGTTGATAAGCTTGAATATCACACTGGTGTTTGACCTTGGGATTCAGGAAAGCTTTCAACAAACATAATGTTAAACAACTCGGTGATGTGCTGAATTCTCTTGGGCAATTACAATTCTCATTTAAATACCAAATCACTAGCATTGCTTAAAATAGTGTGTTAATATATAGGTTAACAATTTGTCCTTAAATACTGACATTCACAATAGTGCCAAAGGCAATACTGGGAAAACAACAACAAGATTACATTTTTATAGCGCCTTTCACGTCGGGAGGACGTCCCAAGGTGCTGAAAACATGTTATCAAGGCATTCTTCAACTACAAAATACACAGTCTCGACATTTTATATCCTCTGAAGTGCTTTGAGATGTCCTGCTGATGTGAAAGAATTATAAAAAATCATAATTTGGTCACTCAATCCACGACTGTTTAAGGGACACTGCTGTGCCCAATTGGCTGCCGCATTTCGCCCACAAAATATACAGTCAATTCACTTTACAGTATATTCTGTGAAGCGCTTTGAGACGTCTCGAAGATGTGATAAGCCGCTATATCAAATGCAAGTATTATTGTTAAAGGCGCTGTATCAAATGTCAGGATTATTTTTCTTACTGTATTGCCTTCATTTGTGAGTTTGGGGGGTCAGTCACTGTTAAGAGTCTGATAAGACACTGGAAAGAGTGGCCTGAACCGTGATGTGCCATCAATAACTGAAATCAAACTCTACCCAAGTATTAAAATTCTGTCCACTGGTTTCATGCAGTGTTGTGTAAAAATATATGGTCACTGCTAATTATCTTATTGTGAGTGTTTGTATTCAGCCCGATGCGGCTCAGTATTGAGGGAGTTTTGTTGACAGATAAAACGTAGAGTGCATTATCAATTCTCTTACTACAACAACACATTACATTTACACAGCGCTTTTCGCATCAGGAGGATGTTTCAAGGAGCTGAACAGTCAAGGATTTGCCCCCCGAACTGAGGGTTGGGATCAGGAGGGTGACCGAAGACACGGTCGAAGAGTAGGGTCTTGAGATGGACCTTGAAGGAGGCAAGAGAGGGGGGAAGAGAAGGAGCTGTGGGATGACATTCCAAAGGGTGGGGGCAGAGAGGCTGAAGGTATGACCGCAGATGGTAGAGCAGGCAGGGCAGAGGATGTGGAGCGTGCCAGAGACCGCTGAGTGGAGAGCATGGACAGGTCGGTATGGAATATTACCCCAGTGAAACATGGCTGAATAACAGAGCTTTTTCCAGTCTCCTCCGGCCACCAACAGAGCATCGTAAGCAATCAGCGTAGTCTCCAGCCCCTTCTGCTTCCCACTCGACTCTGAACGCCACCCTCTGTACAGCTTGTCACATTTTTTTTTAGAAGAAAAACACAGCTGTTAGTTGCATTCACACGTCAGGTGGAAAAATGATCCCCATTAAGAGTAACCCAATACAGTGCAATGCTTGTGTGACCATTTGCCTCCGTCCGTTAGAACGTGAACACACTGTGCGTAACACATCAGATGTTGTCCTAACTATTTTGTAGAGTAAATCTGATCAAACATCAATCAGCCTTTCACTTGTTGCAGAGAGATTCATGCGGGAAACTAAGACAACAGCAGCAGCAAATCACATTTGTACAGCGCCTTTCACGTCAGGAGGACGTCCCAAGGTGCTGGACAGTCAGGGATCTGCATCTGAGCTGGTGGTTGGGATCAAGAGGGGTGGAGGGTGGGAAGGGTAGGGGTGGGGGGGGGGGCGACCAAAGGCACGGTTGAAGAGGAGGGTCTTGAGACAGGTCTTGAAGAAGGCAAGGGGCGGAGGGACTGTGGGATGGGCAAGGGAGCGAACTGCAGGATACTGATTGTAAAACAACAACAACAAACTACATTTGTATAACGTCTTTCATGTCAGCATGTGCTTGAGCGTCTCCAAACCAAGCTGAGAATTCCATGCATCCCACCAGCACATGGAAATCCCAGAGATAACTTGTTGGAATGGAATGCGCTCTCTCTCCTTGGAGGGACGCATCCTGCTTACCTAATTCCGGGAAGTACTAGGCGCAGGTTGGCAAAAGTCAAGGTTTGGGGACCCCAGAGCGTGTGTTTGGGGTAACTGTTGGAGTCTAACCAGCTAAAACCACGTTGAAATGTCTCAAAAATTATTCACAAATATTTGCTGTGAAGTATGTGTATTCGTAGGCAAACATATGTTTGTGGACAGCCAGATCCCACATCCAGCTATGTGGTGCATGAGCAATATTTTCTGGGGTGGGGGGGGAAGTAAAAAAAAAAAATCTTGTTTCTAATAGTGCCATGGGATCTTTTACGTCCACCTTAACAAGCAGACGGGACCTCAGTTTAATGTCACATCTGAAGAGTGGCACCTCTGGCAATTCAGCGCTGGAGTGTGAGCCTGGACGAAAAAGATCAAAGATCAAAGAGACAACATTGAATTACGAAAGGCTCTTGAAAGGACCAATTCCTGAGATATTAAAACTGCTTCACCCGTCCACAGTGCTGCTGCCTTGTAAGGTCTCATACCCCAGCTGTGAGACCCCGTTCTAATTGTGGTGTGCGGGCAACCTTTTGTCTGTTAAAAAGCTGCAAATGCTTAACCGGACACGTAAGGATTACAGAGTCGTTACCCAGTCAGCGCTGACAAGAGTCGATCGTCGCCAGCCAGCAAATAAAGGTCTACAGACATAATTTATTTTCAAGGTGCTATTCATAGCCTAGCAATGATTTGAGTGGTTGAGATATCATTGCCCCACTTCATCCTTACAGTCCTAATCAGGCGTTTATTATCGCCTCGTGGTCATTTATTCCGAGGCGATTACGTACAATTTTGCAATCCGTACATTTTTAAGCTATGATATGAAGCAAGGATCATTTTCTAATTCGAGCCCTTCAGCTAGTTTACATTTTAAAGACAATAAAGGCCTTGAAGGCATCTCTCCAGTTTAGAGTGCTCGCTCCATTCCTGGAGAGTGTGATGTTAGAATTAAGGCAAAACAAGCTAGGAGCGAACGGGAAAAAAATCCATAGCATCATAAGAATGTGGAATTCATTGCCTCTTCCTTCCAGAACACTCACCCTTCCCATCACTGCATCAAGCTGATATATTTCAACAGTTGATACCTTGTAAAATAACCACCTTTCCTGGCAACATCCGCCAGATAAAATTGGCCATTCAATGGCTGTTTGTGGGGCATTGACTGTTGTATTCACCTACAGTAGTCGATACACTTTACAGTGAATCATGTGAAGTGCTTTAGGATATCCTCCTGAAATGAAAGACACTATAATAATAATAATAATAATAATAATAAGCCTTGCTTTGATATCACATCATTGGGACATCTCAAAGCGCTTCACAGAATGCATTGTAAAATGGATTGACAGTATACAAAATTTGCTATATCAAATGTAGGGATAATGTTAATAAAAATGCCAATCACGTGAAGTTTGGATGAAGAAGACCCTTCTGCCCATTTGATCTCATCCTTCCAGAATCCCCAGCCTTCAGTCCTCCCATCACACATTGAGCTGTTTCTTAAGTGAAGTTAAGTGTGTGACTCCCAACCTGGTAAATCTGTTCCAGCCACAAATTCCACTCTGTGTGAATAAAAACTTAATGCCAGGAATTACCTTGTTTTGTTCTTCGATTTTGTAGGATTTAGGAAAAACGGGAATGTCGCATCCGTCCTTCTGGATTCCCCTCAACTTCAGGTAAAACTGCCAAATGGTTTCAAAGCAAAACCAATTCTCCCGATAATCTGTGAGCACGACATCATGTAAGTTTGTGTATTGCAATAAGTTGCTGAAGAGTAAAGTCTGAAAGGGTAAGCAATAACGCTATTACTCAAAGCCGTTTGAGACGCTTCAACTACATGACAAGGCGCCGTACCAGAACTAAGGATTATTATTATATATTATTATTTTAAGAACTGAATACAACCTGAGAAATGAGCGATCTTCTTTTCACAGTACTGCTCTGCGATGGGCATCACTTCCATCATCCTCCATCCCCAGTGAGCAATGGGTTTCCCTTGAATAGCGTATGAGGCGAAAAGCGCTGTGCAGAAAGTACCCAGAAAAGCTGTGGGGACAAAAGGTTTAGAGATAAGCTTTTCAGACACTCAGAAGTTCGGAATATTTTGATGGCGTAAATTTCAGATTACTAACAAAACTAAGGGAGTTGTTAGAAGAATATTTTTGATATACAGAGGGTTAATAGAACAGATCAGCAATGATCTTATAGAATGAGGGAACAAGCTCGAGGGGCTGATGTTCCTATGTTCCTGTGACATGAAAAACCCCAGCAAAAAAAAAACACAACAGAATCCAGTGAAATCCATGTTTTTTAAAAGGTAATTAGACAAATATTCAAAGGGGAATGGGGCTGTGGGACTGAATGGATCGATCTATGAGAGAGATAACAAGGATCCAATATGCTGAATTCTGTGCTCTAAATTCTATGACTGTAACCTATTTCGCTGCACTTATTTTCCCCCCTCTTTCACGTTCAAGAACAAGGGGCTTTGCAGTGCATGTTTGACATTGCTACCATTCCTGACTGGCCGCTCCAACACGTCAACACGACCACAATGGTGTTATATCCAGACACTGGGTCAGGCCTGCTTCAGACCCTCTAAATCCTTGATTCTATTTATACTATGCTGAGGACGCCAGAGTGGAAACACAATGTCCACAGAATCTAGCTGGCGTAAAGTTGATCAAAGCCAAACAGCACCACATGGTTCAAGTATTTTATGCACAATTATCTAACATGTTCCCAAAAATAATCGGGGCAGAGTAAAGGCCCGGTACATTGTGCTCTCTGGCTTACTGGACAATCAGAAGCATGAAAGGCACAGTCAGTGGACACGCTAATACACCAAACAACACTATATGAATCACTATATACAGGGTGTCCACAAAGTCCTGTTACGCCTAGTATGTTTTTCTGCAGTGCGCTGACCAACAACTGAAGCATGTGGAAGAATGATGATAATTGTATATAGAAGTGACTTCATTGTATTCAGTGCAAGTGTTTAACTGTATTTAGACATCCAGAGGATCGGTGTGTGGTGTGTGAGTGGCAAAATTTTCATGGCAGATAAAGAGCCTTCACCATGTTCGGTGCCAAATCTTAGCGAAATGCGCCTCTGACAGCTTGTTTCAATTCATCCGCAGTCTCATATCGCTCTTTTGTAGGGGTGGGTTAAGAGGACCTTTTGGACACCCCTGTTTCATGTCCCCGCCTCGCTCGCCCCACTATTGGCGGGCAGGCTTTCCGCCATTCTGCCCCCACCCTCTGGAACTTCATGGTGCAGTCCCTCCGTCTCGCCCCTTCCCTCAAGACCCATCTCAAGATCCTCCTCTTTGACCGTGCTTTCGATCTCCCTGCTTCCCCCCCCTGCCCTCCACCCTCCCCGACCCCGAGCTTGGGTCCGAACTCTGTTTGTCCAGTGCTTTGGAACGTCCTCCTGACGTGAAAGGCGCTATACAAACGTTTTTTTTTTTTGTTGTTGTTGTTGAAGCCTTACCCCTTCAACACGTTACCTGTTGGGAAACTGTGGGTCATCCGGCCACATTCGATGCTGGCTTGCAGGAGGTCGTTCAGTTGCTGTGGCTTTGAGAAGCGCATTCCAATACACATCGTCCTGGCAGCTGCTCCAAACATGGGCTCTGTGAATTGCACGTGACAGCTGCCTGTTACTGTACGGCCTTTGAATTTCACATCAACGAGGCAGAATACAAAGCAAGGTAACCACACGCATCATCCGTGGAGATGTTTTCTAAATTAGCAGGCTAATTAATACCAGCAGAGGTAGGGTCCATAATAATAATAATCCTTGCATTTGATATAGCACCATATCATGCCGTTGAGACAACAACAAATTATATTTACACAGCGCCTTTCAAATCGGGAGGACAACCGAAGTCGCTGGATCAGTCAAGGATCTGGACCCGAGTCGGGGGTCAGGATCAGGAGGGGAGCAGGGAAGGTGGGCAGGGAGGGTAGTGGTAAGAGGGTGACCGAAGGTGTGTTCAGCTCCAAGGAGACCCCGCTTACCACCAGACCCCCCACCCCCAGGAGATCCAAACCACCCATTACCCAAACAGATGCTTATTCCTTCACCCAACCAGGCGGGTAATATTTTAAAGGGAAATGAAGAAGAGGTCAAACTCCTTGATTAGACACTGCATATGATTGATGTTACCTTGTTTACTGAGCGGGATGAACCTCCTGGTCCTACAGTTGCGTGTTGGCATCTGGATGCTTTCTCTTGCTGGCGTTGGGGTGTTTGCAAGCCGGTTCTGGTGCGCGTCTAAAGCAAGCAGGTACCTCTTCGCCGCTTGACTGTAGAATGTTTTCAAGGATTCCTGCCCTGAGGGACAGCACAAATCTCTTCTATAATAATAATAATAATCCTTACATTTGATATAGTGCCTTATCACATCGTTGAGATGCCTCAAAGCACTTCACAGAATATACAGTAAAGTGAATTGATTGCATATTTTGTGGGTGAAACCTGGCAGCCAATTTCGCACAGCAGTGTCCCACAAACAGTCGTAGATTGAGTGACCAATTTATTATTATTTTTAAAGGAATTATTACCTCCGGAAAGCGATCTGCCAATCAACTAACAACCAGGTTCCTACTTACTGCTAGGTAAACCGAGCATGTGGAGTAAGGAAACTTGTTTAAGGTTTCACCTTGCCCGAGAATCAAACCCGGATCCTTTCGCTTGCGAGACGAGGCCTCTAACCTCTATGCTACTGAAGTAACGGGATCTTAAGATAGGATCAACAAGCGAACGTGGATTTGGATTGGCCTTAAATACTGTATTCACTCCGCACTACTTAGTGTGTGGGGAGAGATGTAACTTATTTTTTTCCCCCTCCAACTTTATCTGCTGCCAGCACCAAATTGTGCGTCAGATTCAATATGAACAGCAAACCGAAAGAAATGGACAAGTTCTGTATAAAAGTTGGTAAGTCAGCTGAGGCAGGCAGGTACTTAAGTTACATATAAAATCGTGGAATCTTACAGCACAGAAGAAGGCCATTTGGCCCATCGTGCTGATGCCGGCTCTTTGAAAGAGATACCAATTGGTCCCATTCCACTCTTCACCCACATATTTACTTTTCCTTTTCAAGTAAGTGTCCAGTTGTCTTTAATAATGTATTGAATAATGAATCTAATGTTGAATTATTCAACACAAGTACTGTAGGGTTGCTGGCAATGGCTAAAAGCCAGTGCAGTGCAATGATGTGTGGTTTCACATCCCTAACCTGCTGCTGATCACTGTAAAACACGTTAACATTAAACCTAGTTCCCTCCCATCCGAACCCTTTTAACAGTCAACGAGTCTATTGCGGTGGATGGCTTTGATACGGTATATTTTGCACCAGAAGTTACTGGAGAGTGAGATGGAGAGAAAATTATACACGTATTCCCCCTCCAAAAAAAATCTTATGAATTGAAATGAAAGTCATTTTGATAGAGGGGGAGGGGATTATATATGGAGGTGATTAATAATTGGGTGGATTTTAACATGCATCTTGATTTTTATTATATGGGACAGAGAGAGAGAGAAATTTGAACAGGACCTGGAAATGCACAAACAAATTGCGTATTTTCTTATTAGGGAATGGTTTCGCAAATCCAGGGATCGATTCGTGTAAAAAAAACAACAAGTGATGGAAGATCCGAAAGGAGGGAAGGAGAGAGGGAGAAAGGAAAGAGATAGAAAGAAGAGACAAAGAGAAAGAGAGAGAGAAATTAACAAGTTAAATAATACCAACTCACCAGAAGTCAAGGCTTCGGCTGTCGCTAAGTGCATCAGAGTATCAAAGGAGACCTTCCATTGGGTTGACTTTGCAACCAGTGCGTCTATCTCGTTGGATAAATCCGACTCATCTAACTTGAGTCCAGGTTTCTTGCACTCCTGGTTGGTGTTGTGAAAGCCCATGGCATTGCCCAGGGCTCCCAGCACCATAGCAGCTTCATATCTGTCCATCGTGTCCACCCAGAGAGAGAGAGACTGAACTGCAGACCAAAGGAAGTTCCTCTCTCTGCTGTCCAAAAGGTCTCAATAAATGGCCAGTTAATGTCAGTGCCTCTGGTCCCGCCCTGCATCCCATCCATTGGACCTGTAACAGAGTCCATGTCCCTATTAAGAACCAGCTGGCTTTCTCAGCAGCTTCAAATCGGAAGGGATTTAAATTCGTTGGGGATTAAATAATAACAATAATTTGGTCACTCAATCCCACCACTGTTCAATCACTCACAACTCGCTGGAAAGCGTTTTTTTTTGTTGTGGGGTGGGGGTGGGGGGGGGGGGGTCAGCCCGGTTTGCGGAACCCCATAACCGTCATAATAATAATTATTATTCTAACCGTTGTGTTTCATATAATAATAATCCTTGCATTTGATACAGCGCCTTATCACGTCTTCGAGACGTCTCAAAGTGCTTCACAGGATATACGGTAAGTGTAATGACTGTATATTTTTTTGGGTGAACCGCGGCAGCCAATTGTGCACAGCACTGTTCCAAACCAGTCATGGATTGAGGGACCAAATTATTATTTTTTTTTTAAGGAATTACTGACTTATTACCTTCAAGAAAAATAAAGAGCGATCAATTCTTACTTAAGAGTCTCCAAACCAAACTGAGAATTCCATGCATCCCACCTGCACATGGAAATCCCAGAGATAGATTGGAATGGAATGCACTCTCTCTCCAGGTGCTATCCTGCGTGACAGGCACCGTATAGGTGTGAGTTATTGTTACCATTAAGTCGCACCATAATTTTGCTTAGTAGCCTATTTCAAAACAGTTTCAAAGTTACAAGAATCTACTTTTTAAAAAAATTGATTATTAACAATGAGACGTCTCAAAGCTCTTCATAGTTTAATTAAGGATCAAATGGAAAGAAAATTGCTGAAGAGTTTGTGTGGGGTTCAGGTTATTCCAACGTGAATCGAATAAATTGGACAATTCTCTGATACTGTTCACTCCAAAATGTTCCTAATCTCTGTGTTCTCTGTGACATCAAATCAAAGGTGTTACACTCACACACAACGCCTAGAACAGTAAGCAACGTATCTACTTAATACACTGCAGATTATACATATATCGTGGACTCCTGTAGAGTACGGTGTTGGTTAGAGCGCTTGCACCACAAATGAGAGGACCTGGGTTCGATTCCCAGGCGCTGTGAAAGCCTTAGGCAAGTTTCCTTACTCCACACGCCTGTTTACCGAGCAGCAGGTAAGAAACCTGGTTGTTAGTCGATTGGCGCTTTGCTTTCCAGGGGTAATAATTCCTTCAAAAGTAATAATAATAATTTGGTCACTCAATCCACGGCTGTCTGTGCATAAATGGCTGCTGCGTTTTGCCCACAAAATATACAGTCATATATTCATTTTACAATATAACCTGTGAAGCGCTTTGAGACACCTCAACCACGTGATAAGGCGCTATATCAAAAGCAAGGATTATTATTATACACTCGTACATTATAAGACGGGAGCATGCGTGCACAAAGTTTAAAAGAAATGTTTTGAAAGAACACACGCAAACCTTCGATTTGAGTGCGTCTCCAGGCACATCCTCGCGTTGGAAATGGTTGACTTTGGGAACGACCTGACCTTGCAACCTGGCTCCATGGATTTTGAAAACCATTCAAGTGCAACATTATCATCATTGTGCTGTACATTATGAAGGGGTTTGACAAGGTAAACATCAATAGGTTGCTTCCACTTGATGGTGGGTCCATAACAAGGGACATAAAACCTAAATATAAATTATATTAAATAGAATTATATTGAATACAACTACATTGTGTGCGTGTGTGTGTTGGTTGGAAGGTGTTATAATTGGTAAATCATATTACTAACAATAAATGGATTATATTTTCATAGCTTCCCCCTCCACATAAATATCATGTTTCAGGCAATTTTTTTGAAATCACGTTTGTGATCTTGTTAGTGCAGATTATTTCTGTTTCGAAAGAAGTCCTTTGACACACCTCTTGTCCAAAGGCAGAACACAGATATTTCAGCAGGATAGTATGTTGAAGAATGTTTTTTTTTCTGTTTTATAAAATGTTATTTTTTTAAAGTAAAAGAGCGTGAGGGTGAGGGGTGCAAACCACTGTCTGGCTAGCATAATGTTGTGTGATTTATTTGATAAATAAATGCAGTACCTTTGGAAATATCTGCACCATTGGTCACAAACACAACTCGCTCAGATTATTTATGGCGTTGTTGTACTTTGCACAATAGCTTCCCAGTAGCCGAGGCTCGAGATGATGTATGAGACTGAGGTGGTGCCAACGGGAACGTGTTGGAATTAACAGAAACGGGGTTAACAAAAAAAAAGTCAAAGCTTTGTGAAGACAAAATATACCGTGGAGCGGGTTTTACAGGCAAACATTCCCATATGCTGTGCGTATTATGCAGATTCCAACAATATATGGATTATACACATTATGTTAAATGGACGAGTTGTACACATTTCCAGTAATGGTATGGATTATATGCATTCCTGTGCGATGTGTAGATTATAAACATTCCAGCATTGTGTGAATTATACACACAAGGCATCTAAAAGATATGAAAAGCCCTATATCAAATGCAAGGATTATTATTATTATTATCCCCACACATGGTATGGATACGATACATCCTCTTGCATACAGTATTCGATTCTATATATTCCCAGCACACGCAGTATGTATTATACACACAGTATGGATTATACACATACACACCGTATGGATTATCCACGCACCATGTAGATTGGATACATTCTCACACACATCATTGATTATACACACACATAGTGAATTATATACATTCCCACAGTCCAGTATTGACTATATACAGTGACACGTACAAACACACACTGTACAGTATAGACCATATAGTTACACACAAACACACACATACACAGTACAGATTATATACAGTAGATCATATAGTTATACACACAATACAGTTATATTATATACAGTTAGACAGACAGACCCACGTGGTACAGTTACACACTGACACAGTATAGATTATATACAGTTAGACAGACAGACCCACGTGGTACACAGTTACACACTGACACAGTATAGATTATATACAGTTAGAGAGAGACAGACAGACCCGAGTGGTACAGTTACACACTGACACAGTATAGATTATATACAGTTAGAGAGACAGACAGAGCCACACGATACACAGTTACACACTGACACAGTATAGATTATATACAGTTAGACAGACAGACAGACCCACACGGTACACAGTTACACAGTGACACGGTATAGATTATATACAGTTAGACAGACAGACAGACCCGAGCGGTATAGGTACACAGGGACACGGTATAGATTATATAGGGTTACACGGGGGTTGGCTTTAAGGCGCCGCCAATCACCAGAGGCGGAGTCGGCGAGTCGAGTCCTCCCACTTGTCCCTGAGGCAGGGACAGCGCCGGCCGCCCGCCCGCCTGCTCCCCGCCAGCCCAGCCCAGCCCAGCCCCCCCTCACACCCACACACCCGGAGGGCACGCGGGCGCGGGCCCGGGGACTGGCCGAGGCCTGGTGGTCGGTGTGTGTGTGAGTGAGTGAGTTTCCCTCGGAGAGAGGCGGGGACAGGCGGCGGGAGGACAGCCCCGAGCGGAGCCCAGCCCAGCCCAGCCCAGGCCTGAGAGCGGGGCCCGGGGAGGGAGGAGGACGTTAGTCCGAGTGTCGAGGTGGTCGGGGGGCGGGGGCGGCCGAGGCGTGAGAGAGAAGATGGTAAGTGACCGGCGCTCCCTCCCTCCCTCTCTCTCCCTCTCTCCTTCCCCCCTCTCTCTCTCCCTCCCTCCGTCCTTCACTCCCTTCTTCCCTCAGTCCCTCCCTCCCTCCCTCACTCGAGCCCCAGGCTTCCGGGCCTAGCCGTGTCCGCCCGCGCGCAGGCTGCGGCCTAGCGCCTCCCTCCCTCCCTCCCTCCCTCTCCGCCTGCAGAGCCCCGAGAGAGAGAGAGAGAGGGAGGGAGGGAGGGAGTGGAGGTGTGGGGGCTGTGGGGGGGAGAGTCTGCGGCGCTGTGACTACGCGAGGTCGGGGGGTTGCAGGTCCCGCTAATGGCCGAGTTTTTTTTGGGGGGAAAAGGGGTGATTTCAGTGTCTCCCTCTCTCTCTCTACACCGCGCCAATGGCGGGGGGTCTCTGTTCAGGTCGCCCCCCCCCCCCCATAAATAAACCTCAGGCAAGAGGAGACCCCCCCCCCCCCACACACACACTCTCTCTCTCAGTCAGTCAGTCGGTGTGCCCTTGGCAACCACCTCACAGCCTTCCCCCCCCCCTTCCCCCCCCTGCTTTGCCCCCTCTTGCTTTACCCCCCACTTTGCCCCTTCTCTCCCCCCTCGTTCCTGCTTGCACCCCCCCCCCCCCCCCTCCACCTTTCCCTCCTGTTTTGCCCCCTTCCCTTCTCCCCTCCCTCCTTCAACATCGGGGGGGGGGCATAGGGTCTCTCTCCCCCCCTCCCCGCAGCCCCCAGACCACCACCGTCCCTGATTGTGTGGGGGGTTTGGGGTTTCTACGCAGAAGTTTGTGTTTCTTAACCTGTGAAGCACTTTTTGAGACGTCTCAACGATGTGATAAGGCGCTGTATCCAATGCAAGGATTGGTATAATGTGCCCACTGTCGAGCGTGTACCCCCTGTGATTTCTCCCCACTCACCACCACAACCCCCCCCCCCTACTTGCCCTCATTGCCCCAATCGCTGCTTCACCCCCCCCACCACCCCCCCCACACACACACCCACAACCCCCCCCTCCCCCCTACAAACATCTGTGAGTGTACAGCAGCCGTTCAGTTTCCCCCCAAAAGTCTCTGGACCTCCATATCCGAGTCTCTTCCCCCATCCCTCTCCTCATCCCAAACACGGATTAAGACCTAATTTTTCAAACACGCTTTTGGTCACCTTAACCTCCTCCCCATCCTCACCCAGTCGTCCACCTCGGTCAAAAAGCGCTTTTAGATATCCAACATGAAAGGCACTGTACACATGTCAATTGTTATAAATGTTAATTTGTGTTGCCCTTTCCTCTTCTTTCCTTCCCTCCACCCCCCAACAGTACACCAACTTGGTGTCTATGTCCCTCTCCTAAACCCTCCTTTTATCAGGGCATTTTTACCCCCACTGCGATAACCTTAATTGGTTAAATATGTGTCTGTGGCAAGATTTGCAACTTTTTTTTTCTCCTTCCTCCCACTTCCCTCTCCGTATTGAGAATAACTTTTCTCAGAAAAAAGGATGGATAAAGGAGGAATTTGGACCACTCATCTGTGCTTTGTTTTGTGTCTCTGTGTCTGTGCATTCTTGTGTTTAGGTGGAGAGTAGTGATTGCACAAGAGTGAATTACAACGATGTGGGCTTAATCCAGGGATTCAAATTATGTATGAGCGCAAGAGGGAAGCTTTTAAGTACTTTTAAGGCAACTGAGGCCTGAGATTGGAATAGTCTTTTAAGAACTGCTTGGTGCGCACATTTGTGTGTGTTTTACAAGACAAAATATTGTTTTGTGATACTCCTAAATGTTTGTGTTATAAGGTTCGTAAAAAGTTGGTTAGTGTCACTGAGACTTGGAACAGTGGGTTTCTGTACTCAGCGTTGTACACTTGTATCAGTGGGTAAATATATTCTAAAGGATTAGTTGGGTAAAGGCCCTAACTAGTAAAATTGTCCAAAAGCTGAGGAAATCACCTGTGGAAAGTCTACTATTAGAACTACTATAGGCAGAGGGGCTCAATCTCATTTTGGGTTCCGATTATCTGAAGAGCGGACAGAGACTCCTCCTCTAGATTGTCTCCTGAAATCCTCAACCCCAGTTCTGTTTTCCTGTATTGATGCGGTAATAAATGCACCACTTCAACCAGCAATCAGTATTATTATTTTTCTTGACTGCTGGATGTTAAAAGTTTCTTCTGTATCAACTACAACATTCCAAATTCATCCATAGCCAAAGAAACATAATTCTCCCGCTCACACCCAACCAACATAAAAGCTTGAATATTTCATTGTAAGTTTTTAAGTTCACTGAATTTGGCCTATCGAGGTAGAATTTTAAAGTGTTTTAATAAGGAATTATTTAACTTTGATGCGCAATAATTTTAGACCTCATTATAAGATTAAAATGCCAAGGTAATTACAGCAACAACAAAATTACATGTGTATAACGCCTTTCATGTGAGGAGGACGTCCCAAGGCGCTGGACACTCGAGGGGGGGGGGGGGGAAGCAGGGTGATCGAAAGCACGGTCAAAGAGGAGGGTCTTGAGATGGGTCTTGAAGGAGGCAAGGGAGAGGGCGAGGCGGAGGGACTGTGGGATGGAGTTCCAGAGGGTGGGGGCAGAGTGGCGGAAGGCCCACCCACCAGGGGACATGAAGCAGGCTGGAGCCCACTGAACGGAAGGAGCGAGGGGGTTAGGAGCTCGCAGAGTTAGGGGGAGCAAGACCATGGAGGGCTTTGTAGGTGAGGACCAGGATCTTGAACTGTATCCTCTGTGTGATGGGAAGCCAGTGGAGTCGGGCGAGGATGGGGGTGAGGACATGGGCTGCAGAGTTCTGGATGATCTGCAGCCTGTGGAGAGAGGAGATGGGGAGGCTGACAAAGCAAGGAGTTTGCATAGTCACGCCAAAGAGATTATTGGTTAGTCAGGGCAGATCTGAAGCGTATTTGAGTAGTGTATTAAGGTAGTTGCCATAACTATTTAATCAACTTTTTGTCTGTCTTTCTTGACAGAACAATATGTGTATTCTGCAGTAAAGTGCAGACCACATAAAAGTTTGTTATATTTTAGGAGCATTAACTCTTTTCTAAGCAAAAGAGGCAGAGTTCAACAAAATATTGCCCTAAACTTTTCCTACCAGGAATCTTCAAGCTCTCAAATAGCCCACTTCAAGATCGTGGAATTAGAATTTTTTTTACAACAGCAAATTACATTTGTACAGCGCCTTTAATGTCGGAAGGACGTCCCAAGGCTCTGGACAGTCAGGGATTTGGACCTGAGGGGTTTGGAATCAGGAGGGGTGGAGGCAGGGAGGGTGGCTGAAGACATGGTAGAAGAGGAGAGTCTCTTCACACAGTTTCTAATCTTTCTGGAGATTTTAAAATCAGTTTTCAAAGAGGACGCCAGAAAAATGTGTACATTTCCAATTTACCAAACTAAAACTTTGGAACATATATTTTAATGCTCAGCCCTTTCCTATTGTCAACCATTAATAAGAGATTTATAATAATAATCCTTGCATTTAATACAGCGCTTTATCACGTCTTAGAGACGTTTCAAAGCGCTTCACAAGAATATACTGTAAAGTGAATTGACTGTATATGTTGTGGGCGAAATGATTTGTTTTAAAGAACTTTTTTTTGGATTAACTTGAATTTGCTGAACTTCAGTCTGTAAACTAAAGATTTACAAATTGACCTTGTTTTTACATTCAGCTCTGAGAATCCAGGCATAGCATTTCTTGGCAAGCTGCAGTAGTTGCGTGTTCATTAGGCTTTGGCTTTAGGTGTTCTCTTGCTGATCTGAACACTCAATGTGCCAGCATTAGTTAGGAAAGGCTTCCTGAATTATTGCTACAATACCGTGTCTTGTAATTGTAGTTGTGGCATAGTATTTTTTTTAAATAAGAAAAAAGTTGCGACATTTTGTAGAGTACATGCAGATTCTAAAGCGCGCAAAAGGCATTTAAACGCCCACTTGTCATATACACTACGTCTTGGGTTTCAGTCCGAGAATACATGCTCTAATGTCATTGGAGTATTTCAGTGGCATTGAGCTTTTTTTAGTTGCTAAGAGGACAGACAGAAACGCATTTAGAAATTCCTGAGAGGGATTTGGCCACTGTTAGTTTAAGGGTGACCAGAGGCAGCGTTTTCGGGGAAATTTACTCTCCGGTGTTGGGATAGTGTGGGTATAGTAGTAATAATAATAATTGCATTTGATATAGTGCCTTATAGTATGAGGGATTGAACAACAAACACACATTAGATTTGGAAATGCTCGAGTATAATTGGATCAGGTTTACAAGCCATGTCCTTTAGCCGTTGTGTGTTTAAAGATCAGCTGGTTTGCCCTTGTCTTGTCAGTCTCAGGAGGGCTGTGGGATAACCATTTTTTTTTCTGACCTGGTCTAAAAATCTCTCATTGCCTTCAAGAGGAGAAAAATAGAATTGGTGATGGTGGAAATTATTCATATTTGGCTGAAATGGTAATAATAATTTAACAGTAAATAATAATAATCCTGGCATTCAATATAGGGTCTAACACGTTGTTGAGACGTCTCAAAGCGCTTCACAGAATATACTGTAAAGTGTGTATTTTGTGGGCGAAACCAAATCTTTAAAAATCCTGCACATGATTGAATCCAACATAACTTGATTTTGAAAAAACTGAAATGCTCGCGCTTGTTTTGTCTGCTGTTTCCTGCGTTTGGTTGTGTATGTAAATGTCCATTTGTTCCTTTTTTCTCTCCTTCTCCCTCCCCCCCCCCCACACCCCCGTTTCCTCACTCCCAGTAAAAATTAACAGCAGTAATAATACTCCTTGCATTTGATGTATATCCTCAGATTCTCTAAGCATTTCACAAGATTTTTATTGTAAAGTATAGTGACTGTCCACAGTAAACTACTGATAACTCATTATTCCCAGGGAAAAGAGCTCAGTGATTTGCAAGAATATGGGGAAAGAGCAGGGGGAGTGAGACTAATTGGGTAGGTCTTTCAGAGAGCCGGCACAGGCACGATGGGCTGAATGACCTACCTCCTATGCTGTAAGATTCTATGATCCAGTGTGGCAAACATGTGTATAACTACATAAATTAATGCATAGTGATACTGACAGCGTGCTAATAATAATACTAATTCTTGTGTTTGATATAGCACCTTATCAAGTGTTAGTGATGTGTTAATCCATGGTCGAGTTATCAGAAGTTTACTGTATTTTATAGGTGAGTTTCTCTGTACAGAAGCATCTGCTGTGTACATGGGGAAAAGACTTTCACTCACACCATCTCATTCCTTTTGTTTTGTGCAGAACAAGCTGAAATCCTCGCAGAAGGATAAAGTGCGCCAGTTTATGGTCTTCACGCAATCCAGTGAGAAAACCGCAGTGTGTTGTTTATCGCAAAATGACTGGAAGTTAGACGTTGCCACAGACAATTTTTTTCAAAATCCAGAACTGTACGTTCGAGAAAGTCTGAAAGGTTCATTGGATAGAAAGAGGTTAGAACAGCTATACAATAGATACCGAGGTAAGTTCAGTTATTCTCAGTGCTTGTGAACGTGTTATTTTTCAATGGAACTTTTTTTTTGGTGAGCCGGGTGTCTTGACACATGCGGAGTAACCAAACTGAGAATTCCGTGCATCCCACCTACACATGGAAATCCCAGAGATAGATTTTCGGAGTGGAATGCACACTCTCTCTCACTGGAGAGACACATCTGCTCACCTAATTCCGAAAAAGTATTAGGTACAGGTTGGCAAGAGCCAAGACTTGGGGACTCCAGAGTGTGCATTGTTTTTCAATGCATTTAAAGTGAGGGTGACAATGCTTACCTTTTCTTCACAGAATCTGTGAGGGGCTTTGATGGTAATCTGCTTTTAGAGTCTTGATTGCAGTCTAGTTCTTTTTATACTTCTCTTGTAGTTATTTGAGTGACGGGAGAAATGGCTTAAATACTACAAGAGCAGTACCAAACACATTTTCCCAGTGATAGAGACGATTTGGGAGTGCTCCAGTTACTTGGCTGAGGGCAACCTAGTCAGTCAGTGTTTTGTTCTGATGTACTCTATTGTGGTGAAAATGCCGATCAAAACTGCATAATCCTCCACTAGTTTAGTTATATGTTTGAGGCAATTGACTTCCCTGCAATGGAGAGAGAGAGAGAGCATCTCTATGATTGGAAGATGTTGTGAGCAGGGTTTAGTAATGCCAGCACACCATGGCACAGAGCTGTCATGGGTTCAAATTTCTTCGTTGCTCATTTTCTGATGAAATGTGGCTGTTGAGATCCTCCCCCGGAGGACGAGAAGTGGAGTAAGGTTCAAGCCAACGGTCTTCCCACAGAGACAGTCATATGCCTTCTAGCCATGCTGCTGATGGAGACTGTGGAGCAGAAACATGGGCGTTTGTGGATAAGCCTTAAGAACGGGTGTAGGAGTGAAGGCAGCTAACAAACACCTTTGTTCCCGAAACCAGTTGGAATTTATTTCATGAAGTTGCAAGAACTATGAACTTGTTTGATTCACTTCAGTGTGAGTCATATCTGATCCTTTGCTCTGCTGCAAACCCTGCGCTACAACAACAATTGCATTTATATAGCGCCCTTCACGTGGGGCAGTGTCTTGGAGCGTTTATGTTGACAGCTATGGTGACTGCAATAATTTAGAGAGTTTAATGGATGGGGGGAAGAAGATCAAGAAATATATTACCTTTGGAATTGATTTGTCACAGTGAGTTGTTGACGGGTATTCCTCAAGTTGGATTCCTTGCTGCTCGGAGTCCCCTCAAAGCTAAGTAATCTAGGACCCTCTTCCCCAAATTATCTCTTAGCGCATCCGTTGCGTGTTCATTACTTTATTCGTGATTTACAGCAAAAGATCCATTTTCACAAATGTAAACAGGACAAAGTTACTTTACTTTCATTATTTCAAAGTATAATTGTTCCATTAGGAGTTGAAGTGTTACTTTAACCGGTTAAATAAGTAACTGTATCTAGCTCGTGCCCTTCGTTCCACCGTTGGTGGCCGCGCTTTCAGCCACTACGCCCCGAAACTCTGGAACACACTTCCTCTATCTCTCCGCCTTGCCCCTCCTTCCCCATCTTCGTGTCGCGCCTGAAGACCTTCCTCTTCGATCGTGCCTATGGTCACCTTCCCCCAGCTCGGTGTCGTGCACTCTGGGATGTTACCTGCGTGAGGGGCACTTTATAGATGCAAGTTGTTGTAAGTAGCCTATTGCAACAAAGCCTAAAATAATAATAATAATCCTTGCATTTGATATAGCGCTTTTCACGTCGGGAGGACGTCCCAAAGCGCTTCACAGAACACACTGTAAAGTGAATTGACTGTATATTTGTGGGCGAACGCGGCAGCCAATTGCGCACAGCAATGTCCCACATACAGTCGTAGATTGAAAATGACCAATTTATTATTTTTGGTTTTGGAGGGATTATTATTAGGCTCTGTGTGGAGTAAGGAAACTTGCCCAAGGTTTCGCCCTGTCTGGAATTGAACTCAGGTCTCTCACTTGCAAAGCGAGTGCTCTAACCACTGAGCTACAGGACTCCACAATCAATAATATGTGGTCCCATAATGTATCACTTGTGGAACTCATACCGTTTCCCTGGCAGTGAATGTAGATACAGATTGATGTTGAAGTGTGAATCCAAGTTGGTTCCCTCTCTCCCTTCTAAAGTGGAGTCCTGTAGCTCAGTGGTTAGAGCGCTCGCTTTGCAAGTGAGAGACCTGAGTTCAATTCCCGGCAGAGGGCGAAACCTTGGGCAAGTTTCCTTACTCCACACAGAGCCTAATAATAATCCCTCCAAAACCAAAAACAATAATAAATTGGTCATTTTCAATCCATGACTGTTTGTGGGACATTGCTGTGCGCAATTGGCTGCCGCGTTCGCCCACAAATATACAGTCAATTCACTTTACAGTGTGTTCTGTGAAGCGCTTTGGGACGTCCTCTCGACGTGAAAAGCGCTATATCAAATGCAAGGATTATTATTATTAAAACGGATGCTAATGGTCAGACTAAATGCATTTGCCTTGTTCAATAAAGCCAGTCAGTCTACGCTGTCTTGGTGATCTTCAGACAGGTTATGGTGGGTTATTCCCATTTACAGGAGCTCACAAATTACCACTGTGGCGCATGGTTGTCATTTGCACATACACAGCATTTAGCACTTCCTATAAAAGTTTTGCTTCATATTTAGCACAGAAATAGAGATAATCTTTTCCTGAGATGGTTTAAAAAATTAGATGCAAATTTTCTTGCATTCATCTCTCAACCCTCATCCCACTCCTCTCATTCTTTCCCTCCCCCATACAAGGTATGATTATGATGACTTTGGACTGTAATAAATATTAATTGTTGAGCCCTATTAAGCTCCAATAAGTGCTATCCATAACTGATGACATAGATGGGGTCTATACTCCCAAACATCTAATAATTGCCCCTTGTAATCAGCCATTAGGTTGGGGAAAGAGGAAGTAGTTGAGAGATGAGTGAAAGAGGATTTGCTGATCATTTTCTTCATTAACCCTCTGAAGAAAACATCCCATTTGGTAAATGGTAAATGATGAGATGCGTTCAATTTTGCCAAACAAATCTTGGGAGTGTTGACTGTTAAACATTTTCTGGCAGAAAAAATGTTACCTTCAGAATTGATTTGTCACAGTGAGCTGTTGGCAAGCATTTAGGAAAGCGCATGCACGTTTAAGACTGTCACTTTAGAATAAACAGATTGCTGTTTGTAGCTTTTTTTTAAACAAACTGTCAATGTTTCAATGAGAAGTTTAGGTTTGTGAAATCTGCTTAAAGGTAAATTTCATTGGGTACTTTTTTGATCAGCTTGCTAACAATTAGTTTTCCATTTTACCTAGCGGGAAAGAGAAAATAAACATTACGTTTGATACAGCAACTTAGGAGGACATCTCAGCGATTTATAGAAGATCTTACTGTGAAATGTAGTGACTGTTTATTTTCTAAGCGATCGCAGTAGCTAATTTGTGCACAGCAATGTCCCGCTAACAGTCATCGAGTGAGTGACCAGTTTTATTTGGGAATGGTTATTAGCCAGGACACCGGGAGAGAAACCCAGTGAATCTTTGATGTTCATCTGAATGGGCTGGGGTCATCTGAACGCCAGCACCTGCGACCATGCAGCTTATTATGGAGTTCAGGAAAACACTGAGTTTTAGAGCACTTCAATAATAATAATAATCCTTGCATTTGATTACGTCTTTGAGGCGTCTCAAAGTGTTTCACAGAATGTACTGTAAAGTGAATTGACTGTATTTTATGGGAGAACGTGGCAGCCAATTGTGCACAGCAGTGTCCCACAAACAGTCATAGATTGACTATAATAGTCCTTGCATTTGATATAGTGTCTTATCACATGATTGAGACGTGCCAAAGCACTTCACAGAATATATTGTAAAGTGATATAATTATATCATGTTAGATATATTAAATGATATAATTGTGTTAGTTTTCAAAGTGTTCAAATTCATCCTGTTGGGGATGATGTGCTTGTGTTTGAAATTGGTGTTGGGATGATCTGATTAATAATAATAATCCTTGCATTTGATATAGCGCCTTATCACGTCTTCGAGACGTCTCAAAACGCTTCACAGGATATACTGTAAAGTGAATTGACTGTATTTTGTGGGTGAAATGCCCATGATTAGCTTTGAGGTTGGCTGCCTCATCTATCCTGATTTGCGTAGAAGTTGAAGGCAGCTTTGTGATGGAAACTTGCATCATTTCCTTCCTGTACTGTGACCAGCAATCGTCTCGTCCTGCCAGTCAGTCATCCCATCATTGCTCCCAAGCTCGCGTTTATACATGCAATTGTTGTGAAATTGTGCTGCAGATTAAAGCGCGTTTGTGGAAACTTCTATGTGATGGACATTTTCACTCATTTCATTCTTGGCTGCTTTCTGGAACTAATAGGATTAAGGATAACGGAGGTCTAATGTTCAGCGATTCATAATAATAAGCAATCCAAGTAGACCCGGCATTCCAAAACTCCGGACACGGAATTCTGCTCTGCTCCAAATGTAGGTGGTGTCAGAGTGGAGTTCCCACAGGGCCACACAAAATACTTCTGGTTTTCCTTTTAAGGAAAAACCCATTTGGAATTCAAAATTAGACTCTGGTATTCAAGATTAAGTTTAATAGGATAATATTAATACTAAAAATAATCCTTGCATTTGATATAGCACCTTATCAAGTCATCTAGACGTCTCAAAGCGTAAACAGGATAAATAGTAAAATGAATTGACCGTATCTGATGTGGGTGAAACATGGGAACATTAATCATAGAACCATAGGACCTTTTTGGACAAAAGAGATCAGTTTGTGTCAGTGCCACTGATGTATTGATTTTGTAAATCACTTTTTTTTATTAATTCCACTTTCCAGCTGCTGGCTTACAAAATATACACTCACTACATTTCACAATAAATTCCTGTGAATGGGTTTGAAACGTCCTCCTGATGTGAAAGGCCCTTTATCAAATG